TATTAAAAATATTTGACCTTAAAGGTCAAATCACGGATTGAAATTTTGAGTCCCCTATTTTATCTACACCGATCGTCCTATCCAATTTCTGATGGTCGCATTCGATAGCTAGGGTCAGAATCTCGAGTTCCCTGATATATACCTTATTAAAAATATTTGACCTTAATGGTCCAATCACGGATATTCGACCTTAAAGGTCACATCACGGATTGAAATTTTTAGTCCCCTATTTTTTCTACACCGATCGTCCGATCCAATTTCTGATGGTCGCGTTCGATAGCTAGGGTCAGAATCTCGAGTTCTCTAATATATACCTTATTATAAATATTTGACCTTAAAGGTCAAATCACGGATTGAAATTTTGAGTCCCCATATTTTTTCTACACCGATCGTCCGATCCAATTTCTGATGGTCGCATTCGATAGCTAGGGTCAGCATCTCGAGTTCCCTAATACATATCTTATTAAAAATATTTGACCTTAAAGGTCAAATCACGGATTGAAATTTTGAGTCCCCTATTTTTTCTACGCCGATCGTTCGATCCAATTTCTGATGGTCGCATTCGATAGCTAGGGTCAGAATCTCGAGTTCCCTAATATATACCTTATTAAAAATATTTGACCTTAAAGGTCAAATCACGGATTGAAATTTTGAGTCCCCTATTGTTTCTACACCGATCGTCGGATCCATTTTCTGATGGTCGCATTCGATAGCTAGGGTCAGAATCTCGAGTTCCCTTATATATACCTTATTAAAAATATTTGACCTTAAAGGTCAAATCACGGATTGACATTTTGAGTCACCCAATTTTTTCTACACCGATCGTCCGATCCGATTTCTGATGGTCGCATTCGATAGCTAGGGTCAGAATCTCGAGTTCTCTAATGTATACCTTATTAAAAATATTTGACCTTAAAGGTCAAATCACGGATATTCGACCTTTAAGGTCACATCACGGATTGAAATTTTGAGTCCCCCGATTTTTTCTACACCGATCGTCCGATTCGATTTCTGAAGGTCGCATTCGATAGCTAGGGTCAGAATCTCGAATTCCCTAATATATACCTTATTAGAAATATTTGACCTTAAAGGTCAAATCACGGATTGAAATTTTGAGTCCTTTAACCTTTAAGGTCAAATATTTTTAATAAGGTATGTATTAGGGAACTCGAGATTCTGACCCTGGCTATCGAATGCGACCATCAGAAATTGGATCGGACGATCGGTGTAGAAAAAATAGGGAGACTAAAATTTCAATCCGTGATTTGACCTTTAAGGTCAAATATTTTTAATAATGTATATCTTAGGGAACTCGAGATTCTGACCCTAGCTATGGAATGCGATCATCAGAAATTGGATCGGACGATCGGTGTAGAAAAAATAGGGGGACTCAAAATTTCAATCCGTGATTTGACCTTTAAGGTCAAATATTTTTAATAAGGTATATATTAGCGAACTCGAGATTCTGACCCTAGCTATCGAATGCGACCATCAGAAATTGGATCGGACGATCGGTGTAGAAAAAATAGGGGGACTCAAAATTTTAATCCGTGATTTGACCTTTAAGGTCAAATATTTTTAATAAGGTATATATAAGGGAACTCGAGATTCTGACCCTAGCTATCGAATGCGACCATCAGAAATTGGATCGGACGATCGGTGTAGAAAAAATAGGGGGACTCAAAATTTTAATCCGTGATTTGACCTTTAAGGTCAAATATTTTTAATAAGGTATATATTAGGGAACTCGAGATTCTGACCCTAGCTATCGAATGCGACCATCAGAAATCGGATCGGACGATCGGTGTAGAAAAAATAGGGGGACTCAAAATTTCAATCCGTGATTTGACCTTTAAGGTCAAATATTTTTAATAAGGTATATATTAGGGAACTCGAGATTCTGACCCTAGCTATCGAATGCGACCATCAGAAATTGGATCGGACGATCCGTGTAGAAAAAATAGGGGGACTCAAAATTTTAATCCGTGATTTGACCTTTAAGGTCAAATATTTTTAATAAGGTATATATTAGGGAATTCGAGATTCTGACCCTAGCTTTCGAATGCGACCTTCAGAAATCGGATCGGACGATCGGTGTAGGAAAAATCGGGGACTCAATTTCAATCCGTGATTTGACCTTGAAGATGACCTTGAAATTTGAAATGAATACGATATTCGGAATCAGCGTCCCAAACTGCATCGGATAGGTTGGGTTTAGTTGAAATTCGGACTCGACGCTGAATCCGTCGCGGAATACGACGCTAACTTCACGCACGTAACCATTTGACCATTTACGAAGTAGTTTTGGTGCCTTCGTAACATGTTACGAAGCTGTCAGAGGCGGTTGCCACCTACTACGAATACCCGGCACTCCCTTACTGGTTGACCTGACCTGACCTGACCTGGCCTAAATGCATGAAGACATCATCTATGATCATAACTAACATGATATTCGTGATCAGCACCCCGAAAAACCATAGCAGCCACTCTTTACGACGCTCTAACAGGTCCCGATTTTCCCGACTTTTGGGTCAATGACCTGACCTGGAAGGTCAACCGATGACCTAGGACCTTAAAATTGGGTATAATCGGCTTCCTTTTATCACGGGCAACACGGTCGTTTTTTCCGCGAAGCTCTAGCTCGATCAGGGGCGAAACGGCAAGGGGGAGGGTCCAACGGACCCCCCCCCCCTATACGCTCGCTACTGGAAACACCAATACGGGCGAGGGTTAATGGATTATTAAAGACAATTTTCCAGGTTGCCCCCCCCCCCAGTCAAATTCCCTTAAAATAGGCTCTGCACCGGTTGAACGGTGCCGCGTGAGCTACTTCAAACGTGACTGAAACGTGAAAGGTTATTCGCATGAAGAAGTTAAGAAAATAGCAACAACCATTCCGCACTAACTTAATGTTCTGTCAAACGTACAAAATAACAATTTTCGAGTCAATGAACGTGTACCGTTCAGCCTCTCTATTGTGTTCGGCTCAATAGCAGTGTCTGCCGGAATTTACGGCGCGTTCTGCCGTGACGCTGTGTTGTGACGCCGCGTGACGGCTGGTGACGGTGCCGTGACGGTCGTCCGTCACCTGTCCGGCAGGCCGCGGGCCGGGCGTGCCGTCCCGAATGACACCCCGCGGAGCCTCGCTCCGCCCCGACCCCGCCCGGCGTGCCAGACCCGACCGTCGCGTACGCCGCTCGGAGACGGGAATCGCTGCGCATCTTGCCAGAGCGGAGCAGACGGGCAACTAGTAAATGAAAGGCACCTGGTGACTTTTCAGCTGCTCCACAATGACATGAGACAGACACTAAGGCCAAAAACTGACGAAGGAATTGATCTGATCGAAGTCGCAACGGTCACCGACACATTCGTCACGAAACAAATAAGCATTTTGAAGCGGCGATAAATATTATCCGACATGAGTATGTATGCAAGCATTAAAGGGACCCTCCCACCTTCAAAAAAGTTTATGAATTGGCATGAAAGTGATGTCGCTCGGTTCAGAAAGAGCGAAAACAAATATCTACCAAATTTCACCGAAAAATATCCACCGGTTTTCAAGATATTATACTTTTACTTTTGTTTACTTTTTTGGTATCTCCGCTGTTTCTAGCGACTTTATTTTAGAAGTGCGGCGTTTGCGGCAGATGTTGCGCGCAAATAGCATATACCACCGCGTGCTACAAAACGTTTTAGTCAAGCATTTAACCCTCGCCCTGGCAGGGCATTTTTCATAACACGGCCTGGCAGGGGGGGGTCGATGCGACCCCCCCCCTCGCGATTGGCTCCTATGGCACCTAGAAACACCAAATTTGGTAGGTAGGTGGGCCCCCTGGAGTTCTCGCCCCTGTGCAAATTTGGTTGCTCTAGGTCAATATTTAGGGGGGTTTGGGGGGTATAAATGCAAAAATTTCGCTAAAAACAGGTCAAAAGTTTTTCGCTTATAACTTTTGATCTAATTAAGATAGAGCAAAAAGAAAAGCACCAGTGAACTCAGCACGTCAAGGCGCGTCGAATGATATACTTTTTAGATTGCTTAAGTGTACTTAAAGTTTTTCTTAAATTTTAAGTAAACTTAAATTAATAAATTAAGTTAAAGTTAACCAAATTGCATCATATCGCATATCATTCGATTCGGCTGATCACCAGGAACACAATGATACCATTTTTTAAGCTCTAGCGTCATTATGTGCCAAGTTATTGGCAAAAACGTCATTTGACCTCAGTTGACCTCATTTGACCTGACCCATGGATAAGTACACCAAACAAAGAAGCACCAAGTGACCTGCTGTTAAGTACTTTGGTTTCAAAGCACAAAAGTGATAGAACGAAGCGGATATCTCCAGTATTTTCCGAATTTAGTATTTTCCCATAGGCTTAACATTACGACGTTATGACCTCTAACTGACCTCAGGTCAGTGACCTCAAAAAACCCGAACTATATGTAATACAACTCGGTGACCTTAGCACATCCTGAAAGTTTGAAGGAAATCAGTGCAAAACTGTGAGTTGGACAGGTGCAAAAAGAAAATTGAAATTTGACCATGACCTTGTACCGGTTTTTCTGACCTGGTGACCTGACCCAAGGTCACACGGACCTGAAATTTTCAGGTCATATGTAAAAAGGTTGCCCCATAGGCTGTGCCAAATTTGGCGGCGCTGCGCGCCGCCGTTTTTACGCTATCCTCGAAAAACCTTAGGGGGGGGGTCGCATCGACCCCCCCCTGCCAGGGCGAGGGTTAAAAATCGTTAGATATCTGCTCTGACGTCACACATTCAGAGGGGTATTCCTAAGCATTAGCCCCTCTGAATCAAAATGCTGCAATTTTGAAATTCAATATTTCCGATTTAAGGCATTTCTCGATGTTGTGAGTGCCGAAACCGGTAATTGTGAGCCAGGGACCCCATTTTGGCTATCGCAACTCAAATCTAATGTTAAGGTGGGAGGGTCCCTTTAAAGGTTCATATGTACATAGACGTTGGAAAAATTATGTACTTACCGGAGCATTTTGAAATAGACGAACTTGAAGCAGTTGGCGAGCACTGCTCCCACGTTGGACATGTAGAGTAGCATCAGCGGGATGCCCACGATGGCGTAGATGATTGTGCAGATCTTGCCCCAGGTGGTGTGCGGCGTCAGGTAGCCGTAACCTGCGCGTGGACAGAGAGATCAACCGTCAGATAATCCAGCTAAGGGTCAGAGTGGTCGGCATTGCCCGTTTCATTGTTTTGGCCAGACAAATCAGGCCAAAACTCGGCTAAATTTTTCATATTCATCGTTTAATTACTCTGCTGATTCGTGGAATACGGCCATACGAAGCCAGATGTGGAGTATTTATTACCAATGAGCGCACCAATGGAACGTTTAATCTGTGGCTTATGATGTGGCCTTCAATCCCATCATTCAGTGGATCCGGTTATATTGGCCCGGAAATGTATCTCCGGTATTACCAGTTCGTGCGGCTCGCCGTAGAGCAGTAAGCGCGGCCCCGTGCTCGGCGACCGAAACTGCCGCCGTCTCTGACCTTCGGCCGTCGTGACCGATGACCCGTGACCGGTGACCGGGTGACCGCGGCTGGCTTTCTGAGAGGCACCCTGTCATCCGATGACTCCTCGCCCAGGTCCGGGAGCACGTGACGGCGGCGCCCCGCGCTGACGAGCGTCATTACTGCGGCCCACGAGCGGTGGCCCGCCGGGGAGCCTGTTTGTTTGCACGGGGTCCTCGGCGGCCCGCCGACCGCCCGCGGCGGCAGATGGGCCCGCAGGTCGGCTGAGGTCAGACTCCGTCCGACGGCGGCGGTTCGGTCACGTGACAGTGCCCCTGAGCCCGGGGCGCTGGTGGGGCGTCCCTGTGAGGTGGGAGGGACGGGCCGCGATCCATCAGGCGGGCGGACACCGCGCGTCATGTCTGGCCGGCTCGGTGGCGACAGTGGCCGGCCGGCTGCTCCATCTCGGCTGTCCGCCCCCGCCCCTGCCAGAGGAGGAATCACGCCCCGACACACCGGCTCCAGACGAACACCGCCGTCCGATCACCCGAGCGAACCGTCTCAGAAATCCGGACGCCGTCACGGCCGATGTGTGTGTAGTTTCCGAAGCGGCATTCGTCAGTGTCAGAGGTTGTTTACTGTCGACGGGGGATCATCGGCAGCGCGGCGGACCCGCTCATCTGTCGGGACTGCAGGCGGTGGGATGATGCCGTATGTGTGTATGGAGGCGGGTGGGAGAGAGGAGAGTAGCGTGGGTGGGACAAACGACGTGCACAACACGCCGATGGACTATGAGGATCGTGGCAGCTCTTATATTTAATTATTGGCATTGACAACCGGGTGAGACATGGGATAAGTGCAGAAATGTGATCTCAGAGTCGAGTGCTGCAATAGTCTGATTTCCTGACGACACGCACTAATTCTGAAATTTATATGTTGAAACGGCACGCCCGTTATCAGTACATGCCTCTTAACATTGTATTATTACCTGCATCATTTCCTGGTATATTTCCTGCATCACACATTATTCCCGATTTCGCAGCGCCAATCGACAGCAAAAATGCCCTAAAAGGTTATAACTACTAACGTTTCATAGGCATAACCCGCCAGCAGTTGCGCTGCGCCGCCGTATAAACGCCTGCATCTATACTGTGCCGCAAAGCAAACGCCTGCTAAGTAGGCTGCACCGCAATGCCCGTAAAAGCGTCTGCGCTGCACTAGACTCGTTCAACGGCCGTGGACGCGTTGTGCGGCACTGCAACGTCGTGGTAACGTAGCTGGACTCAGTGAAGTCTATCATTGCAGTAAATGCTAGATAATTAGGAGGACCAAGGTGTAGCAGAGAATTTGCTTTATTGGTAATTGTCGGGACGTTTTCAATTAACAGGTCGGTCAGAAAAGTCACCATGGTCGTGACAAGATATCCAGCACGGACAGGTTGAGTGTGGTCGAGGTTCCTGAGCTGAGAGAGAGCTGATGGAGATATGACGCCGCTCCATATGATTTATCAGCGGTGCCCCAATGGGCGACGAGCGCCGGCGAGATTAATTGTTCCGGAGACACGGAACGAGCCGAGCACGGGCCGCCGCCGCCCGGGAGACGGCATGGCGGACCGTGTCCCCTGTCGCTCGCCGCCAGCCGTCAGCTCGCGGCCCGATTAGTCAACGGAGCTCCGACAATCGCTCACTGTCGCCCGACGTCCTACCATATGACAGCCAGCGCGGACAAACATAGCTGCAGAAAGGTGACCGTACAACCTCAACCCTAAACGACTCAGCTGTTGTCGGTTTAAATCGGAGCAATTAATAAGTACAGCAATATGTCGCCACTATATATGTCCACAGATAGAAGCCAGGGGACCGTAGATGTCAGTTTTGTTTTCGCAATCATTTCATATTCGTGATTCGTGAAGGCCCCCAGTTCGGTGAAAACACTCTCGGGAACCAAGCCCGGTCAGAACTGATCCGCTCGTCATGATTTGGAGCCTCAGAGGGCTCTCGTCTGTACGTATTATACTATCCGTCAGTAACGTGGATCCTGGAGCACACACCAGAGTTCCGAAAGATAGTATCGTCTGTAGGGGAGATCCGTGTAAGACGCCCAGGGTCGGTAAGAGGCCCCATCGCTTTTTTTACCAAACCAATAATGTTATTTATTTTTTAATGTACTTGTAAAGCAGAAGCCCTCTTGAAACAACAACTCACGAAACCTGAGGTATCAGGTGCGTCGCAGAGACTTTTGGTAAGCCTGTTTCTGTTTTTGCCCCTTTACTTGCCAGATATATGCATCTTTATCACCCTTATATTAATATCTGAAAAAACAATGGCTATCAAATGCAATCTTATCTCATCGAAATTTGTCACATGTTAGCTTCAGAATAGACCATGTTCTGGTGCGCTGCAAATGTCTCATAAACCATAAAGATTGTGACGTTAAAACACTGCATTTTTTTAAGAGGCCCTCCCTTCGAGGATGATAAAACGCCCCCCCGATAAAAAATGCCCCCGATGCTAAAACGCCTGCACCTGCGGCAGGCGTGGCATTCTTTTTTCAAGGAGTTTGTTTTTGTTTCTTTTTTCTGTTTCTTTTCTTAGAGGTAATAGGTACAATTTTCGTTGGTCATCAGCGTTTGGTTGTGCTAGTTTTCGCATTGTTCGAGCGCTTTGGAAGTGTTATTGGTTTCGACAACACCGTATTTGCTTAGCGTTTCGAAATAAAAGGCCTTGCAGCTGTGTTCGCAAAGCGTCTTTTACAAGTCGACTTGACTTGTAAAACGCCCGAGGGGGGGGTCTTACCATACCCATAGGCCATAGTGTAAGAGGCCCTTTTGCAACTTTTTCCGAAATGTTAAAGTTTACGGTTTGTGTACCCCCTAGATTCATTTTGAATGCAAATATGTATGGGAAAATGATGCATGCTCACAGCGCATGCACACGTTAGCTCTTAAATATTATCATTTGTCTAAAAATAGCAACTGAGCTTAAGGGGGGGCCTCCTGCACCACTCTCCCCTACATAGTCTGTACCGCAGACACCGTGCAGGTCTGTGCCAGCCGTCGTTCGCGAGTATAATGGAGGACACCTGTCTTTGATAGCTATGTTGCAGGCACTTTAGAAAATCAGTCATTTTGTAAAATGCCTAGGCATTTTGCAAAATGACTGATTTTCCAGGCTTTTTGCAAAAAGCCTAGGCATTTTACAAAATGACTGACTCTCCAGTCATTTTGCAAAATGCCTAGGCATTTTACAAAATACCTAGCCATTTTACAAAATGACTGAGCAGCGTGTTGTAGATACGAGTATCTAATTATATACGTTTTGGTAGCGTGTAGGTGGACCGAGGAGTCCAGCATTATGACCAGAGGAGTCCAGCAATGGGAAGTCCATACCTACCTCTATTTTGAGAAGTGCAGGCCCGCGACATTTCCAACCCCCACGTCAGCGACGCTGCTGGATTTAAAATGATCGATCTGGAGCGTCAACAAACGACTGGCCCTATGCCGGCCTGCATCTGTAAAACTATTAGAGGTCGCGAGGATTCGATCCCACACACTTAGGCGTTAGTGTCTTCTGAAACCAACGCTCTCGTCCTACGCCAAGCGACCTGATGATTCTCCTGATGTGGAGCTTGATACTCGTATTTTTAACTGGGACCATGCAAGTAGGTACTCAAAGCTGTTGCCACAGAACAAAATTAATCGTGTTTTGTTCATTATTGCTTTAATATTCATTGTGATCAGAAAGCTTTTTTATTCCAAAGAAAAGTTAGGAAGAAAACCTAAACAATAATGCTGTAAACAATTGCGTGGACTAGGCCTAGGGTAGACTTGTTGAAGTTCCTTAGAGCCAATGAGCGCTGTCTAGTCAACTGAGGAGGGGAGGGGTGGTCCACACTGGGCTTAAGCCACACAATGCTTTATGCTACAGTCGAGTCTGCAACTCAACCTGGTCGTTACTCAGCATTGTCGTCATCACAGAGCTTCAAATCGATCAGCTACAGACTGAACACGTTCCTATAGGGTATAGGAAGACGTCCAAAAACTGTTGGCCATAGTAGGTATCTGTAGTGAGATCTACGTTCCATGCTGGTCAGGCATTTTGCAAAATGCCTAGTCATTTTGTAAAATGGCTAGCCATTTTGAAAAAAAGCCTGGTTGCGTTCAGTCATTTTTCAAACAGCCGTCTTTTTGTAAAATGCCTAGGCATTTTACAAAATGACTGATTTTCTAAAGTGCCTGCAACAGCTATACCATGGAGGGCGCCCGTCCGCACCAGCCCGTGCCGTGTAGGGCGCCCGTCTAATGGTTCCCGTGTGACGGGGGTGCCCGTCCGCCCCTGCAGGCATGACGGAGGGCTAGACGTGGTCTTTGCCGGCCCGTGCGCTGTAGGGCACCCGTCTAGCCTGTGGTGTCCCGTGGGGGGGGGGGGGCACCCGTCTGAGCCGGCCCGTGCGCTGTAGGGCGCCCGTCTCAGTCTGTGGTGCCCCGTGTAACGGCGGGTGCCCGTCTCAGCCTGTGATGTCCGTGTGTCAGGGGGCGCCCGTCTGCGCCGGCCCGTGCGCCGCACAGTACCCCGTTGGCCCGGTGTGACGCGGCCCGGTCAACCCGCTGAAATACTGGGCCATCGCGGTGAAACAACGCAACTATAACGACCGCCCGACGTCTTGGACTACTCCAAAACCAACAGATTTCGGCCGAGTGGCTACCAGCGACCGACGCTCAATGTCGGCTCTAAATAGTCCGAGGTACACAGTGTGAACACCGCGTGGCCTGATCCCATTCCCGGAGAACTATGTACTTACAGGTCGGTGAGACCGAGACGGGGTCGCGAGACGAGAGTCGGAGAACGGCTATTGACGGAGCTAATCCAGTGTGGCAAAACACCAGGGTGCCATCACCAGTGAACTCGACGTGGTTTTAACAGACACAAAATGGTGTCTTATTCTTCCGTAATGTGATGACAGATAGGTGTCTGTCAAAACTATCGTTTTCACCGTGGAGAAACAAACATGTTTTATAATGGATCAGCAGCACGGCGTAATTTAAACACTGGCCGGTAGGTATGTTGATAGTGAAAACGATGTCACTGACACCCAGGTGACATTTACAAGTCAATTAGCGTTTTACAGCGAGGGTGCTGAAAAATAAACCTTGCTACGTCGGCGCTTTGAATGAGTCTGAAATCCCGGCTCGGTTGACAAAAACGCCCGGCCGCTGACGGAGCTTGACGGGCACAGGTCGGTCGCGCAGTGGCGCCTGACGCCGCGGGGCGGGCCACGCCGTTCTCCGACCGGTGACGGCAGCACGCCGCCCCGGGCCGCTCCGTCGGCCGTGCGCGCCGAGAGGCCGCCTCTGTTTTGCCAGGTATAAACAGTGGGGTGGGTCGAACGGCCGCGATTCCGCACTGGCTGACGGACCGCCCGCCCCGCGGGATGCCACCAACAAAGCGCCCCTGAGCGCGCCGGGCTCGCGGACAAAGCGCCGCGGCCGCGCCGTGTATTTAGCGAAGGTGGGCGCTCCTCCCGATGATCGTCGACCCTCCAAACACCTGTCGACGTCCCTCGGAGGTGGGCGGACGGCCACCGCCGACGGAAGCCGTCACTTGGCTGCAGGATCTGTCCCGGCGGAGAGGCACGCTCCAGGGAGACACGCCCGAAATTTTCTGCATTCTGGTGAATCACGGTCCACAAAAACCCGAATTCCTCCTTCATGAATTGTGCAAATGCCTTAGTAAGGTAAAATTCATATGAAGGTGAAGAGAAAACGCCCCGATATCCGCGATTTTCGGTAAATAAACACTTTTTACCATTTTGTACCTTCTTTTCTGTTAATGAAAGGTAAAATAATAGCTATCCCGCACCGTAGACAGTCAGTGGCGGCGGAACACCTTCAATTAAAGGGAGGCGGGGGCACCGCCGACTTTTGGTCCCATTCTTTCCATGCAACGCGCATAGGGGCGGGCTTATGTTAAAATGCCAAAAGCAAAGGGGGGGGGGGCACGGTGCCCCGGTGTCCCCCCCCCCCGTTCCGCCGCCTATGTAGACAGTGTTTACAATTGCTTCACGTGCAAAGAGAGAAAATTATCAGATGTCGTTTAACTGATTTGTTAAACGTTTAGACGATTAACAAACTTTTAAACGTCTAGTAGACATTTCGTCTAGTCTGAAATATGTCGTATTTTTTACATAAAAGCATTTTTACCTTAAGCGCCCGAAAGAAATCGCGGTATGGGATAAAAATAAAACCATTAAACTGCTATAGGTACAAAAATCTTTTAAACGTCTCTCCTATAGGTACGGCTCGACGTTTAAAAAAGTTGTTCTAGGTACCTACTCGTGGTTCAATACCTATGCCTATAGGTTATCGTCCTTCTCGAATCAATAACGAAAAAACAGCCACTGTGGATCCCGACTTTGGTCGTGTCACTGCCGCGTCGCCCCTCTCACCTATGGTTGAGTAGATGGATATGCAGTAGATGATGGAGGACGGCACCGTCCAGATGCTCTGGTCGCTGCTGCCGCCCAGGTAGCCGCGGCGCACAAACTCGATGACGTCCTGCTGGTATTCGGCCGTCAGGTTGGTCACCAGTCGCCACCAGTCCGGCTCTGTGACGTTGAACTGGTTCATCTGGCGGGTGAGCTCCCAGAGGTCGCGCGCCGTCGTCTCGCGGTGCATCTCGACGTGCGCGGTCAGCTGCCGGTCGTACTCGGCCTCCGTGTGCCGGAACACGAACGCGCCGCTCACCGTGTAGCCCAGCAGCAGGCAGCCCACGCCCACCTGGTTGAACAGGAAGATGATGGTCTGCCGGCAGATCTCGGCCAGAGTCTGTCGGATGGTGCGACCCAGTGGACGGTGCCGGTCCTCGCTCAGTCGCAGACGGTCCTTTTGCCGCTTCGAGTAGGCTGACTGCATGGCTGCGGCAGCCGCGGGCCTCCCCGGGCCGGGTCGGGCCTCAGACGGTCACCCACCAATCAGGCACCTCCGGTGCACCGCAGAACACCGCGATGTGCTCTAAGGTCGTCACGCCGAGCCAGCGACTCTCAACACGCGCCACGTCGGGCCCGCCGCACCCACATCGCTACCGGACCCGTCCCGACCGCCGCCGGCGCGCGCTCGACGGTTCACTGAGCGCGCCGTCGAGTCCGACGAACGGCGGTAGGGGCGGAGGCCAGCTGGGCGGTGGCGGCGGTGGCGGAGCGGCTAACGCGCCCTGACTGCCGCGGATCAAACCAGGGCCTCGGTGTGGCAGATAGTTTGTTTTCTTAAATCAGTTTAATTAAGTCCCGATAAAAGTGCACCTATGTAGGTACCATACCATGCCATACGGCGAATTGAATAACCACTTTAGTCTCGATTAGATAGATAGTTGGTAGGTGATCGGATGACTGCAATACCTACCTAGATATGCAAAAACTCCAAGACCCATTTTAAGGTCACCCGAGGTCACCGTATTCGATTCAAATGGTGTTACTTTCTTTTCGACCGGCCACGGGCCATGTAGGCTTACATTGGGTGGTCTCGAACCTTGAGGTTATAGGACTAAAGGTCATAGGTCATAGGATAGGACCCTTCTAGTTCTGCCTCTGTACCACTCTGCTTGGACCAAGCTTGGACTCCCTCGACCTTCAGTAGCGGCGGAACACCTTCAATTAAGTGGGGAGGGGGGCACTGCCGACTTTTGGTCCCATTCTTTCCATGCAAGCCCATAGGGCTAATGTTAAAATGCCCACTGGCGGATCCTGGGGGGGGTCCACGGGGTCATGACCCCCCCCAAAAGGTCTGAGAGGGTCATTTGACCCCCCCCAAAAAGCCGAAGACCTAAATGCGCTATAGACGCCGTCTTGCATGCTCAAAATCACCTGTCAAACACTTCTGAGCTAATACCTTTGTTTTTCTGGATCGTGTTGCGTGAAAAGGCGTATTGAAGACCAGAATCTTACTCGTTTTTGTCTCAACCGTGCGAGCACCAGGGGATGATCCAGGAAAACTCCAAGGGGATGGTCATGAATTTAATTCGTGGTGCCCCTACCTATACGCAAAATTAAAAACTCAACGGATTTCGGTCACTTAATTTTGGTGATGTCCTATTTTCATTTTTTATTTTGTTTGTTTTATTTTTAGTGCCCCTGGGCCCTGGCAGGTCAAAATCACGTCTGAGGCGAAAGAAATTCACGGGAATCCCAAAAATCACGTCAGGACATTCAGGGCCCTCTGACCAGCCTGACAGCTAGGGCCCTTCTTACTTCCTGGGGCCTCCAGTGAATAACCGCTAGTGTCTGTGTCTGACCGCTAGGGCCCCTCTGACTCCTCAGTAGGTAGGAGGCCCTCTGTAGAGGAGGTCCTCTGTAGAAAGGAGGCCCTCAGTAGAGAGGAGGCCCCCTGTAGAGAGGAGACCCCTTTAAAGAGGAGGCCCTCTGTAGAGAGGAGACCTGCTGTAGAGAGAAGGCTCTATGTAGAGAGGAGGCCCTGTGTAGAGAGGAGGCCCTCTGTGGAAAGGAGACCGCCTGAATGCAGAAGGCCCTCTGAAGAGTGGAGACCCGCTGTAGAGAAGAGGCCCTCTGAAGAAAGGAGGCCCTCTGTAGAGAAGAGGCCCTCTGAAGAGAGGAGGCCCTTTGCAGAGATGAGGTCCTCTGGCTCTTTGAAGAGAGGAGGCCCTCTGTAAAGGAGGCCCTCTTAAAGGGAGAGACCCTCAGTAGAGAGGAAGCCCTCTGTAGAGAGGAGGCCCTGTAGCTTCTGTAGTTAAGAGGCCCTGTGAAAAGAGGAGGCCCGCAGTAGAGATCGGTGGTCCTCTGTAGAGAGGAGGCCCCCTCTGTGTTTTGACAAATGTTTTTGCAAATTTTTCGCGGCGCTTCGCGCCGCCGATTTATGTACATACGTACAGGTCAATACGAAATCTTGACTGTAATTACATAAACCAACCGTGTCAAATTGAATCAGAATTCATATGTGTGCTGTAAAGGAACTCCGGCTTGTACTGCAATGCTAAAAGGGTGGTAAAATTTGTGTTTTGGAGCTGTGTTTCGACACATTCTTTTGCAAATTTTCTCGGCGCTTCGCGCCGCCGATTTATACACCAATCAATAAGAGAGAAATAACAGTGACTGTAATAACACCAACCGTGTCAAATTGAATCGGAATTCATATGTGTACTGTGAAGGAACTCCGGCTTGTACTAGCATGCTAAAAAGGTTGTAATATTTGTGTTTTAGAGCTGTGTTTTGACAACTTTTTTTTGCAAATTTTTGCGGCGCTTCGCGCCGCCGATTCATACACAGGTCAATAAGAGAGATCGTGACTGTATGCTACTATTTACTAATGCATTAGGCTAAAAGTGAGGTAACTATATCTACTTCTGGGTTTTTAAGTCGGTCGACCCGCCTCCCCCCCCCCCCAGTAAAAAATCCGTGGCGACGCTGCTATATAGGTGGGTTTCACTAACTAAAACTACTGAGCCGAGTGACTTACGATAAAACTTCATCTTATAAACGACGAAGATCAAATGTCATTTTTTGATCTCGACATACTCGCTCCCTACCCCCCCCCCCCCGGTCGTCAGAATTCATTCACCAGACCTGGTATGTCGGCCGACTGGTGACCCCCCCCAAAACGACCCCCTAGATCCGCCCTTGAAAATGCCAAAATCAAAGGGGGCCCGGTGCCCTCCCCGTTCCGCCGCCTATGTCGACCTTCCCCAATCCCCTGGCCTCCCACGCAGAGCCCGTCATCCCCTTGCACACTCACTCATTTCTACTCTACTCACCGACCAGCAGTCGGCAAATGGCAATTGGCACTCGGCAGGCGCAGCAGAGATAGGTGCCAGGTGGTCAGTCACGCTCAGTCGCTCACGTGGTTCATCTTTGGCTTAGCTTAGCGTGCTTGACTTGATTCCGGATTAATCAAATCCTTGACCTTGCATCGGTAGGAAACCATGGGAGGATCAACTCCGGAGGATCTGTTATGGAGGAATCTGGCAGGGGCGTCGACGCGTAAGGAAAACTGGTCCGACTTTTTCTCGGGGGGCCCCCACCGGTGGGGGCCCCCAGGTGTTAGGTTAGGTTAGGTTAGACAGGGGCCCCCGTGGCCGCAGCTGGGCCCCCGAGAGCCCCAACAGGGGCCCCCGCGGCCACAGCAGGGCCCCCGCGAGCCACAGCAGGGCACCGCCTAGTCGAAAAAGTGGTCCGACTAGTCGGAAAAGTCGGACCGGTGTCGACGTCCCTGGAATCTGGAATACGCTTGCGGACAGTAGCGGCGGAACACCTTCAAATAGGGGGTGAAGGTGTTCACTGTTCACTACCGACTTTTGGTCCCATTCTTTCCATGCAACGCCCATAGGGCTAAGGTTAAAAAGTCAAAGTCAAAGGGGGGCACGGTGCCCCGGTGCCCTCCCCATTCCGCCGTCTACGCTTGCGGACGAGAGTGCAGGAGCCGAGGAGACTGGAGAGCGGAATAGCGCGAAGAGCGTAGATTGCGTAGTTCCAAGGTTTGCCGCTAGAGGTACTAGAAATTGATTACTGTTGTGGTGCATAAGAGACATTTAGTTGCGCAGTGTTGGCGCATATACCCTGCGCAGTGAAAGTGGTAGGAGGTGGACGCTGCGGTTGTGTGTTGTTTGCCGGAACTTTTTTAATTCGGCGTTAGATTTCAAGTATTTTCTTTACTGTCATACCTGTACCTATGTATCTGGGTATTTGATAAATGCACTGCAGTGAGGAATTTCAGGTAACTAGATCATCTGGTCACTGGTGCGACCGGCGTGGAAACAAAAAAGTGGCCTTCAAAGTCAAAAGTGTGTGAAACACAAACAACAATATCGGTGAATCATCTTATGCCTGTGTTGTGTTGGTTGTGCCAGGCAGCCAGGGACATATAAACTAGCTGTGTTAGAGTAAAAAAAGTTATTTCTTGAAGGTCTACCTATTTAATTTGAAAGTTCTGATTGAAGCTCAGTGAGAAGTGTCGAGCATTGACGAAAAACAACAAGAAAGAAAAAGAATAATGAAGACCAGTTACAGGATAAAGGGGTCAATTTTTGCCACATTTTTTGTGTGCTGCATAATCATTGTTCTCCTTAGCTCGTCATTAGCTACAGACCACTGGATCAGTGCATCAGCCAGGAGAAATATTTCAAATCCTACAAGTGGAAGCATCGTGTTTGGCCTGTTCAACGGCAAGAAAATTCTCAATTCTGGATTAGGAGACAGAACAACAGTATTTAAATGTAAGTACCTACAATTGTTTTTCTTCTTTCACTAATCATTCTTGGATGCTGTGGTTTGGGTGCTTTATTTTTGCTGAAATCTACTAATCAAGTAATCCAACTAATTGTTATGCTCTCTTGTGCCTACCTATTAGCTGACAAGTGAAAGTTCTGAATATTTCCAATTTAACTGAAAAGAGTTTCTGAAAATATTTATAACCTAAATAGGTTGTTATAGTATTTAGAGGTAGATAATTTCTTCATCTTTCAAGATGTTAATATTTGTTTTATTTTCATCAGAGCTGATATCAGCAAAGGGGATTCAAAACATGAATGTCATCCACAGATGTCATCTAATAACTGAAGATGAAGCTGCTGTGGTCAGTATTGCCAAAAATAACTTTTCTGTGTGATTTGTTCTCTGCATCCACCTGATTCTGCTTAGTGCTGGTCATTGGCCCTGTGACCCATAAGTCATTAGTTTTGTAGCTTTTTTTTAGGAGGGATCAGGGGTGTTGTAAGTTCCAATTGTTGGTATGGCATGGTGCATGCCAGTGGTGGCTTCCAGCAGTGTCAGTCAAGCTCACTTTATTTTTTCAACATAGTGGAAATTTCATTTTATTATGTAAGTTTTAGGAAGTACATCATCACTGTGGAGATGATTGTGATCTCCCTCTCTGGTCTCCCATTTCAAGTTGTTGCTGGTAAAGTACCTAAAAGGTATTCTTTAAGCAATTCTGGGCTGGCTTATCTCAAGATAAAAGATTCTCCTGGACAAGTACAAGAAGTCATACTAGCATTGCTGTAAGTGTATATGATAGTGGATGGTTGGGACTTGGGGGCATACTCCTCCCTCTCAAAATCCAATGCCTGTTCAAAAACCACTTGGACATCATTTCCTTATTCAGGCAAATTGATCCTTCCATCCATATTCTGTAGGCATGTCTGACCGTCTGTTCGTCCGTCTGCTTGTCCGTTCCTCTGACTGCTTCAGCCGTCGGCATCGGCTCAGTTCGTCCATGTTATGTGTGTCCGTTCGTCCGTCTGTCCCTTCGTTTGTTCGTATGTTTGTCCGTTCGTTCGTATTTTCGTCCCTCTTTCTGCATGTCTGCCCACTATTGTCCGACGTAGTCTGTGCTTCCGTCTATCCGTCACAGCAAATCACATAGGACCGTACGACGAGACTTCTCAGTTAACGAAAGCCACATCACGTCATTGACCTTACACAAAATTTGCGTTGCTTGCTTGTCTACTTGACTATTAAGGCCGCCCCACACTGGACCTCGCCTGTTGGTTGGGAGTTTATGGGTTTTCGGGTGTCTTTAAAGTTAAAGAATACAATCTACGTTGATTGACCCGCACTACCATCTAGCGAGGGAGTCTGCGAGCTTTCGACCTGCGAGCGACCTCGCTCGCATTCCAAAAGTCGGTTTTCCTCGCTGCGAAGGCTGCGAGTTTTGGTATGATTTGTTGGTGTCGGTTGCTGGTTTGCTGTGCTGTTATTGAGACAATATGTAATTTTCTGAAGGTGTATCGGCTTAAGGGCATTCATAGAGTGAGTTTAAGACAATAGTGTTCTCATTCCATGAATGAGTATGATACCCGCAAACCCATAACCCCCAGACTCGCAACCCGCATGCGAGGTCCAGTGTGGGTCGGCCTTTAGTCGCAGCTATTGGTGAGCCTCGCCTTGACGATGATTACATTTTAGTGCTAAGTGACGGAGGGGGAGGGGGGAGGGAGGAGTCCCACTCTCCGCCTCGGCCCGTCTTAGTCGCAGGGGCCGAGCACAAGTTCGTCCGGATTCCAGGAGCTTGTCGAAAATGAGCACACATTTACACAGATACTACGCCAGGTCATAAGTCAGGCCAACAGAATCGAGCTTGGAATCGTCCACACTTTTACATTCGTTGATAAATAACGCAGTCCCTGCAGAAATAGTCCGTCCACAGCTCATTTAAAGGAAACAGTTCACTTTCCTGAAATTAGTATTTTGCTATGGATTTATGATTTGTTATGCTCAAAATGATCAGAAAATGAAATAAAACCTTTTTGTAAAAACAATTATTTTCTATATTTTAATATAGGACGAACTATATTCTATGTAAAATAATGTTTGACGCGGAAGCTTATTACGCGTTGACCAATCATATTGCGTAGTTCAAACTTACGCATGCTGCATTGGCTGTAAGCAGCATGCTGATTGGCTGACGATGACGTGGCTGCATTCCTGTGCAAGGCACACATTCCTCTGCAAGGCACTCTTTTCGGAACGAGAAATGGAATATCTTCGTCTAGGGTGATCGTTGAGCCGTAAAAGCTCCTGATTTGTGCTAGTCTCAGCTCAAGCTACGAAACTGCTATTCCAGTTCAAAACCCCATGTTAAAAGTGAACTATTTCCTTTAATAGATTGGCGGACTCCCGGTGGTTAGAGCCCTGGTTCCAAGTCGCTCCGGCGTTCGGTAGTCGATATACGAGACTTCTGACGGGTGAACTCTGCGGTTGATGGGAGCAGCTGCAGCCAGTTGAAGTCAGTTGAGTGGGGCGGATCGACGGACCGTGTATGGTTTTGATTGCACGATTTTTTTGCTTCAAATTTTCGGAATTGCACGATTGGGCGGTAGGGGTAGGGCATGCGCAGTGCACACCAAGCTCTGTGCCTTCGCGTGAGCTCTGGTACGTTTATCCAAACATTTGAGCTTAATTTATAAGACCGACAGATTGGTGTTAAACCAAACAGAAACTCTGTAGTGATGGGAAAGGTTTCTTGACACTTTCTGTGACAAAGTTTTGGCACATTTTGGGAATGGCAGTATGTGGTTTCGCCAGTTATCACGGCCGTGTTTTATCATCAAAATTATCATCGCTATCATTGTTGCTGTGACGGCCGTGACGCGGCCGCTCATGGTGACGTCACTATCCGATGGCCGGATAGCCGGCCGGTCGGCCACCGGGGGCATCGTGCCGCGATAGGCTGCTATCTGGCCGTGGTGCCGCCGATACCGGGCCGGGAGGTGCGCGCCTCGGACAGGGACGGCCGTGTCTGCTGCCGCTGTGTCTGTGTCTCTCGCGCCGGCCAGCCTCTGTTCCCTGGACGCCGGCTAACTCCTGCTAACTCCCGGTGCTGAGCTGAGTGTGTCCAGAGACTGATAACACGCACGCCACCGGCCGCGCGATGAAGTCGAACCTGTGGGCCAAGGGTTCTGTGTTCACCTCGTTCATGGTATGCTGTGTGGTGCTGGCCCTGCTATCCTCCTCGCTGGCCACCGAGTACTGGGTCACCGCCACTGGTATGGCGCCGAAGAACGCCTCCGACTCCAACCCCCAGCCGACGGCCGAAATCAACCTCGGACTCTTCAAGGGACAGACGGTCAAAAATAACCTGGCTGGGGCACAGCAGTTCACCCTGACGTGTGAGTCTGGTCAACAGGCGGCGAAGTCGAGCGCTGCATAAGTCGAAATGGTTAGGGTGTCGGCCCGGGTGTTGCGCAAAGCAAGGCTTGCTGCGAAGAACACCAAAGGACGAGTACTCCACGTGACAAACGCTCGGTTCTGCGCCGTTTATTTTAACCGAAAGTGAACCATCAAACATGTCGCAATTAAATGACATTGCTGTCCTTCTCGTCTGTCGAGACCCTCTCTCGCCAGTCGCGAGCTGATTTGATATCCACACGCAGTTCAAACGATGCATTTCTCTCTGGCATCGAACCATTTACCAAAGTGACGATTTTTGGTTAAAAGTCTAACGACTAAATTTGCAATGTCGTGTAGTATGAGGAACCATTTACATTCACCAGGAAGCTGCTGTGTTTGGCGTTTTTTCATGGTTTTTGTTCGTGATAACCACTGCTCGATATCGCCTCACTTTCCCGTTTGAAGGGAGTCGGCGTTTGCTTACTTCCTCGCATTACGATTGACATTCATTGAAAATTGCTAACATGTCAGTTTTGTGCTGTACTCGAGGGTTTGGTATGTTTCTCATGACAAGTTGGTACCTACCCTCAAGATCCTACCCCTGCCGCAATTTGGTGATAAATATGCTAATATTTAAACCAGTCGACTTATATGCTAATGTCAGCCATAAACTAATAATGCAATGCATTTATGCGTGCTGCATTTGTCAACTGCTCTACTTCTCTTCAAAATGCAATCGACGAGCATGTGTTTTGTAAATCTGATCACTACATTAACGATCAATGCATGATCATCGCATGTAGGCCCGCTTATGCTTTCATGCGTGGTGCTGGGAGCTCAGTCTCTTCAATAACAAGAGCATGTTTATTTCTGGTAGTGTTGCATATCTAAAAAGCACAAATTGCTCACCAAAACTAACAGCAGTTGCATGTGTCGCCCTACCCTCACTAACCGCCCGCCCCGCCTCCTTCACCGGCTCTGTCGACCCAGTGGTCTGTCAGAAAAACGAGAGCCTCTGCATGTACAGCTGCGGTAAGACCGCCGAGGACCGCACTGACGACATCGTGGACCTGCTGTACAACAACGGCGGCTCCTTCAAGCCCGGCATAAGCTGCGACACCAAGACACTGAGCACGTCCCGGCCGGCGGCGTCCGGCGGCGGCGGCCTGCTCTTCAGCGTCAGCCGCAGCCTGGCGCTGCTGCCCGAGCAGATCGTCTCCTCCGGTAGGACCGCGGCAACCCGGCGGACGGCACACGCACCGTCACAGGCGGGCAGCAGTACAAACTGTCCCAGCAGACATCACACAATGTCCCATACTGCATCATACACCGACCCTGCGGACGGCACACACACCGTCACAGGGTGCAGCAGTACATACCGTCCCAGCAGACATCGCACACTGCCCCATACTGCATCATACACCGACCCTGCGGACGGCACACACACCGTCACAGGCGGGCAGCAGTGCATACTGTCCCAGCAGACATCACACAATGTCCTAACAGACAGCACACACTGTCCCATACTGCATCATACACCGACCCTGCGGACGGCACACACCGTCACAGGGTGCAGCAGTATGTACATACCGTCCCAGCAGACATCACACACTGCCCCAATCAGCAGACATTGCGCACCGTCGCAGAATACAGCACACCGTCCCAGTCCCAGCAGACATCACACACTGCCCCAATCAGCAGACATTGCGCACTGTCGCAGAATACAGCACACACCGTCCCAGTCCCATCAGACCTCACACACCGTCCCAGAAGACATTACACGTCACAGAATACAGCACACACCGTCCCATTCCCAGCAGACATCACATTCACACACCGTCCCAGTTCTAGCAGACATTACACACCGTCCCATTCCCAACATACAATACACAGTGCACACCGTCCCAACTAAGGCCCTAAAACTACGGTCCCAGCAGATGCTACACAGTAGATAAACCCTTAAGCTGGGCCAAAACTGGGCCAACACTACTACTTGTGACTCCACACATTGAACGTCCCGCACTTCCCACACCACCTTACAACTACTAAGACAGGTAATCCTTCTTCAGACACTTCCAAATCTATATGTAGACCGTCGCAACACACGCTTGTAAACTCACAACCTAGTGGTTACCGGTGGGTCCTTTTGTGATTCAGCAGGCTGGTGGGTTGATGCACGTTTGAAGGTCGCATGTCAGGTGACGGTTCAGCTTTTTAGAACTGAATGCTTGCCTGTTCATTCTTCTATTTCTTAAACTGTTAACATGACCTGGTTTGCAACAATGCTGGTGTGACAATTGCCATGTGATAGTGATTACTGTCATTTGGTATATCCACCACTCTTTTGGAGGTGCCAAGACTTCTATACATGGCTCTTTTCTAAGAGAGGAACCCTTTTCTTTCACCCTTGCCCAGCTTCTGTTCGCGACAGACACAACGATCCTAAATTCCTTTCACTCTTGATTCTCCATTCCAATAGCCTTGATCGACTTACCATGGTCCGTTTCAGTGGCCCCCGCTCGGCTGCCCCGTTCCCTAGTGACCCTACCGCTCTGTTCCATTGACGCTGCCTCTCCCTTCCTCAACGACCCTCTCCGTTCCTCAGCGACTTCTCCGTTCTTCAGCGACTATCTTTGTTCCCCCAGTGACCCTCTCCGTTCCCCAGCGGTGCTCTCCGTTCCTCAGTGACCTTTCCGTTCTTCAACGACCCCCTTCGTCCCCCAGTGTCCCTCCCCGGCCGTCTCTGTGTCCCCCAGTGACCCTCTTCGTCCTCCACCGACCCCCTTCGTCCCCCAGTGTCCCTCCCCGGCCGTCTCTGTGTCCCCCAGTGACCCTCGTTGTTCCTCGGTGACCTTCTCTCTGCTCCTCATTGGTCCTCTTCTCTCCTCAGCGACCGTCTCCATCCCTCAGCGACCACCGTCCCCCCCAGTCTCTCCGTCCCCCAGTGACCCTCCCCGACCGTCTCTCCGTCCCCCAGTGACCCTCCCCGACCGTCTCTCCGTCCCCCAGTGACCCTCCCCGACCGTCTCTCCGTCCCCCAGTGACCCTCCCCGACCGTCTCTTCGTCCCCCAGTGACCTTCCCCGACCGTTTCCAGTGGCGGATGTGCCACAGTCGGAGCCCGAGTTCATGAGCTATGGCCTGTGGCTGTCGACGATCGTCATGCTAGGCGCCGCCATCGCCTTCACCCTCGTGGCCGCCATGTTTGCCATTCTCAACACGGCCACCACCCCTGTGGAGACCATCTTCGGCGTGATCGGACTCTACGTGTGGAACGCCATTGCCAGTGAGTGCGCACTGGGGAGGGGGTGTCCGACGGGGGGAGGTGTTAGGGATAGTAGGGGGGGGGGGGAGGCGGATCCAACTGACGGCAGGCGGACAGTTTGTTGACAAGTCCCTAATCCTATTCCTATATACCGTAGTTGATAGTTACGAGCGAATGACGTGTTAGGTTAGGGCGACTGCGGCGCTGTGGGGTCTGTTCTTACCGTCGTAATTGTCGGCATAGGGCTGGATGGGGAGGAGGGGACACCTTCAGTACAGGGTCTCCAGGTAAGCTTCGCCCCTGAGTTAGTTTAGTTATGGGCTATTTCAGCTCAGTTTGACGATGAGCCCCATCAGCGCTGGGTCGATGAACCCTACCTATTGGGCCAGACAGTGGGCTGAAGTAATGCACAAATCGGCTCTGGTCCACTGGCCACAGTCCGCCCCGTTCGTTGTTCAGTAATGGCCGACTAAGCTCTCTGCCACTGGTGGCAGAGGTGCGTACTCATTGTATCTCGGCCGTCGGTGCGCTATCTGAATCCCCGGGACTATCTCGGTTAGCGGGCGGCGGGCTCAGCTGTATCGGCCGGCCGGTGGTCGATCGTCACCTACCCACGCCAATCAGCGGACAATCACGGTGGGGCTGCATTATCCGCGTGACTCAGCGATCAGCTAAACTCCTCAGCTGACGGCCGGGGTGCCGTTACGGATACGGAAAGGTATGCTCGAGCAATTCTGATGCACCCTTACGTAGATATGTTGATGTGAAATAAAAGTATCCCTGGCCGTGTGTGTGACGTATTAGGTACACTTAATTGCTACATTTTTAGCATTTTGTTTTTTCGTTATTACAGTGGTGTTTGAGCTGCTGGTGCTGTCGCTCTGGGGCGCCCAGTTAACCAGTGTGTGTTTGTCGTGTTACAGTGGTGTTTGTGTTTGTCGTGTTACAGTGGTGTTTGTGTTCCCGTGTTACAGTGGTGTTTGAGCTGCTGGCTCTATCGCTCTGGGGCGCTCAGTTCCACCAGCATCTGCAGCACTCGGTACTGTGGAGAGACGAGCTGACACAGCAGTGGACCACCGACGGCATGGCCAACCTCGGATATTCCTACTGGTGAGCGGGGCGGAGTGGAGCGGGGCGGGATATACCGGGGAACGGGATGGGGTATAGTGGGGCTGGCTACACAGGGGAGGGGACCCTGCGCTGCTGGCCGGGCGCTGCGGATACTGGTGATCGGGTTGGGTTTCACGGGAGCGAGATGGTGCGCGGCGGGCCAAGCTCGGATACTCCTGTCTGGTGAGCAAAACGGAGCAGGTCACATTGGTTACATATGTTGAGCGGGGTGGGTTGGTGTATGTTACACCAACTACTGATTTTCACCGGTAATCAGAGTTGGGTGCTACGGACCTCATTGGCTTTTCCGAGTTATCAGACTGACCAGGAGAGGCACGGCCAACCCATACCCTCACCGACCGCTGCTGGCTCGCGATTCACAGCGGCCGGCAGGGTCGGCTACGACCGAATACGACTAAACTCGGTGAATGTGAGTGATGTAACCGAGACCGACGGGCTTATGTGAGCTACTGGATCGTTTCGGTCTCATTCGGTCGTGAAATTGGCCATGTGGCCGTGAAAGATTTGCGCTATGGAGCAGAAGGGAGGCAAGGGGTGATCGAGCTTCGATCAGCGGACAGAAGGTGGCAGCACCTTTCGTGGACGATAATCGCGGTAGAATTTTCCATCTAAAGAGACTTGCTTAGATTTGAGGCCGATTCATAAAGCTGGAAATTTGTCTTACACTGCAGATCGGCTACTTAATAGAAGCGGATCAGCCTGCTAGCATTTTTTTTTTGTTTGTTTGTTTGTAACCTACCGCTCACCAGATTCGCATCTGGACTGTCATATGTTACGTAAAAGGGGTGGCATTGTTGTTCTCCCACTTGAACCTCCAGGAAACCCTTCTTGGAATTTCGCGATGGAGCACACCCTTGACGCTGCATGGTCATTGGTCAGTGGCATAAGTAACTACTGAATTCATGCACTAGGACCAGTGACTTATTTACTGAACCCCAGTCTCCCGATCCGTAACACTGAGTGCAGCCACAACATAAGACGAAGAGATCGCACACGTAAACAGCGATCGTGTAGCTTACGAGTTCTGCTCGTGTAGACTGAAGCGTAAACTGTGTTTGTTGAATCCGGCACAGATCACTTGGGTTAGGGAAATAAATCATCTGCCAAACCAATCACCCAACTGGGACTTTTGGCCGTCATTAATTGCAGGTGTGTTGTGTTTAGTGTTTCGGAGTAGTGTTGTTTAAGTAACAGGAGGCCGTCAGAGATAATATTGCTCCTCAACTTGTTAGTTCTGTTATGAGCATAAGACAATATTGACAAGACGGAATTCAGCTGTGGTGATAGATAGTTCAGTTAACTTTTTCTGGGTGTGTGTGAGTTGCAACAGCTTTAGTTATGCGAAATTATGTTTACTTCCAACTTTTTTAGCGTGATTTGCTGAAAGAATTCTGATCAGTCACCGCCGCCGTCTCTAGTCGACACCATTTTGGACCATCCCCGATGGGCGGTTCGTATGCTCGTAGCCTCGTACCCCTCTGACGTCTCTCCCCGCTCGTGCTCACACCCCCTGACGGCTCTCCCCGCCCGCAGGCTGGTGTTTGTCGCCATGTTCCTGCATGCCGTCAACATGGGCGTGCTCTGGTTCGGCACGCACCAGAGGAAGCCCAAGACGGTGCAGGTGCCGGTCGACCGCGGCGCCAACAACACCAACATCATCTACTAGACGACGCTACCAAGTCGTCCGTCCGCCTGTCTGTCTGTTCGGCTGCCGGCCGGTGCCGGGCTCCGCGCTGGTTACGGAGACTGCCGCCAGGGGCTCCTACCGTCACCGACGTTAGGAGTGGCAATGTGGTGAAGTGAATGGGAAACCGTTGTCCATCCGTCCTCTGTTTGTCCGTCCTCATGTGTGAGTGTCGACTCGTCCATTCATGTTTCAATACATATCGTGTGTGTGAGCGTGATGATGCTGGTATTTGGATTATTATGAGATGATTGTTGAAGCGTTTCGGCGGACCCTTTTTGTCCGTGAGATATCCAGTAAGTGCTCGCCGTGCTACGGCGATGTTTCATATCAATTAGTGACGATCTTTGCTATCGATTTCTGCTCTGTGACATGCAGCCATGAGTGTTGATCGTGATGAGATAATCAAAGAGGTGTGTGTAGAGCTAGTGAGGACTCGGACTCTTGGGTTGTGATTAATTTCCTCGATGTATTTCTTGTCTAAGTTGGACATGTCTTGGCCACTGCGATTAGACACCTTGAGTTAGGTCGAATGACTTTGCCGTCTGTGCTTTTTGGAACGTGTTGTGAGACTCCGCTATTGTGATTTGTATCAATCCATGTCATTGCTCGTCAGGGCTCATCTTTTTATACGAGTGCTCCTTTTATTTATCTGCGATCAGACGATGCCAAAAGTTCCTACTCTTGGTAGTACCTTTTTTACCGTCTGATGAAATTAGTACGGTAACACAATCGACTGTGTAGGCATCATTGGCTCACGTCCCTCCCTGATCTGCTTGCTATAAGACGCTTGCATGATGTCCTCGGTATATACACATTCCAGAAGATAGATGACTCATTTTATTTAGTGACGAACTGAGTGAGAAATTGTCGAGTGGATGCTCTCTGCTGTTGTTCCAATGGCGACACGATACGTTGACCGACCGATCGTAAGATTCTTCCGTTCATTGCGCATTATTTCGGTAAAATCGCACTGCATGTACTCGCTATGATTGTGTGTAAATATAATGTATTTCTCGGCAATGTATTGCAAAACGCTTTCGGCAGCTACATTGGTTAGCTATCACGTCTCTAATGGTGATACACGTGCCTGAGCCTTTCATGCCTAACTTTTCGCTCGATCATGGATATAACTACCTACTTTGCCCGCTTTAGTGTCCGGTGCACGAACCGCCCTATATCAGCGCCTGATATCGCATTATCTGACATTTGACCGTCTCTGATGAATAAAGTGGCGTTCTAGTGTTTACGGGTGTTAAATATCGAACAAGGGAGAAAAATGACTCCGGCTCCCGGGGGTGATTTTTATACGGTGCGGATAGAATCGCCTCTCGTACTCATTTATCAGCCGTTCATGGTAATACGTGTGCTGTTGACTGCGGGTGATGCTTTCATCGTTCGTATCATTCATATGACTGACTAGTGATGAGGACAAAGTGGCAGGTGATCGCGGTATGATCTAATATCACCATGTCAAAAACCGGTCGTTTGGAACAGATGTACATCATCAGATGTGGCGTGCCCTTGTGTTGTGACTCGGGTCCTTTCATCCCACTGGCTACTCATCAAGGTCCATCGTAGAGCGTTCTATTCTTTGCTTGCGGCGAGGTCAGGCGATATTTTCTCTGGGAGTTTTAGTTTTCCCTTCTCACTTCTATAGGTGGGGTAAAGTCGGTAAGCTCGATCGCTGTTATCAAGTTACTGTTTGACATGCTAATGATGTTGGACTAACTGTGATGTGCGCCTGGCTGGCCCTCTCGCAATTGTCTTCGATATGGCCTACTGGTGAACAGGGTTTCGTACTGTCACAGAACGATCGCGTCGGTAGTGAACTGCAAGTGAGGCTTCCAAAAACTGTTTCTGCCACCCTGTCTTCTGTCTTGGTATAGCTGCCTGAAGCCCCGTCCCGCCCCACTCCTTTCGACTAACCATGTTATCGACCTCCACAGCGCCAGCCGTGAGAACCGCCAGCCTTGCGCGCCCTCCATAGTCCCTTACCTGGGACCGCCACTGCACCCGGCCGACGGAGCGCAGCGCGCATGCGCGGGGGAGGAGTTGCCGTCGCCCCACTGTAGCGTCACTCGCTCTGTGACCGGCGTCGGCGGCGCAAGGGAGCGAGTGTGGTCGTCGGGGCGGGGCGGGCGACATGGCGACCCCGGCGGAGGGCGGTGCCGCCGTCCAGTACCGCTCCTACCGGCGCCGCTGGGTGGTACTGTTCGTCATCGTGGTCACTCAGGTCACCAACGGAGCGGTGAGTCTGCTGACCGACCCCCGGCGCCGGACGGGTGAGCCGAGTATGCATGACCGAACCGCCGTGTGACTGCCGCCGTCACGCTGGTAGATTGGTCAGACTCAGCGAATAGTGGGTGGCGTCGGTGTCATTGTGCTTAAATCGATCTGATTTGATGATAAATGATGATTTGATGATTTGATGAATGATCTCTAATCCCAATCTCTGGCCTTGGCTGTACCTATACAACTTCTGACCTGACCTCCGGCCTGGTTCCCGATCTGACCCCGTGGATTGAACCCTGATTACCCCAACTTGCCCTCGACCTGACCCATCGCTGAGCTCTGACATGTAACCCTTCTCGCGGCCGCCGGACAGGCATGGCTGTCGTTCTCGCCAGTCGCCAACTATGCGGCCCACTACTACGGCACATCGATCGACAACATCAACTGGCAGATGACCCAGTTCATGATCGTGCAGCTGATCGTGACGCCGTTCATCATGTGGGCCGTCGACCACTGGAGCTTCCGCTGGGTGGTGAGTGCAGCTGAAGCCGAGACATCATGATCGAGTCGTCTTTCCTTTTACTTTTCCTTCAGGTTTGAGCAGACCTGACGAAAACTGACAACTTGAGGTCCTGCGCTACGTGTTAATGATGCGTGCTCGTCATTTTTGTGGATCGTAAATGGAGCCTGAGCCTTATCCTTCATAAACCTTATCCTCTACTGCCCCCTACTGAGCCAGTAGCGAGTCAGTCCAATGACGCCGTTTGACGTCACGATTCGATTTTTGATGATGTGCTGTATTGTATTTCTGTCAAATAACAGTTCACTATTAGTAGCAGCCTCGTCCTAGTCTGTCTTGCTCCGTCATCATTGATGTCCAATAGTCCCACATGACCCTGTGCTCATGGCCGGTCGCGGCCCTGTCAGTGTAGTACGACGGACTCCAACGATGAGATAAGGAGGGCGTCATTTATCGGCATACGCCTGTCGGATAGGAGGGTCCGGGACCTGCCACACACCCGATATGCCAGCTGACGTGAATGTAACGACAGGTGCTACCTGTACCCGCCTGCTGGGTAACGATGGAGCGTACACTCATTATGCATGGGCCGTAACGTCACATCTCCTATAAGACAGTTGGCAGGGAACATAATTCATGCATCGTAGATATTATACCTAATAGATAATTGATGTTTGTTTTAAGTGCACGTTATTCTCCGTAATTTCCCGTTGCCCCATATTCTAGCAATAGCTGGACGTCTCCCAATATCCCCGCCGAGGCACTTAAACGTCCCTGTTACAGGCAATGTGTGGAATCAGGCATTCTATAGAATGCCTAGGCATTCTATAGAATGCCTGACCGACCAGGCATTCTATAGAATCCCTAGGTATTCTATAGAATGCCTGACCCACCAGGGATTCTATAGAATCCCTAGGCATTCTAAAGAATGCCTGATTTTCAGGCATTCTATAGAATGCCTAGGAAATACACGAATCTTTCCAACATATTAGTGTATGTTGTATAAGATTATGAGAACAGACCGACATGTAACATTATTATTTTCTGCCAGGTACGGACGTCGGACGGACGGTCCTGACTGATAACACCGGCTCGATTCCGTTCCTTGCGGTCAGCTATTTATGTTCATTCAGTCAAATGTTCATTCAGTCAAATTTTCCGGTCAGGTATTCAATCTGACCTTATTAGGTCAAATTGTATCAGGATTTCATTCTGAGAGTACAGAGTATTTATCTTAACGCTAGAAAGACGATGGTGGTAATGTCAATATCGGAAACGCCTTTGGTAAAAAAAATACACAGAAAAAAATTGGCAAATCGTCCATTTTTGGAGGTGTTTGCCTTCTAAGGAATTGATTTAAGGTCAAACTGGAGAAAACGGCTACGAGCCAAAAATGGACAAAAATTGGGCTGACCTAAAAAATGGCTTAGCTATTTGTTTTAGAAATGGCACCCTTTCGAACATTGCCAAAGAAGAACTGAAGTAAAATTTCATAATTTTGAGTCTTTGACGACCTTTCGAATACCGCATGGCCCAGAAGTCAAGCTGGAAGGGGAGATCGAACAACACCTAATCCGGCTCTTGTTACGGCCGGGCCACCGCCCGGACGTGGAATAATGAACCATTTATTCAGGTTATTCTCTGACATTACGGTGTAGGTTGAGCTGTCCATGTATGTATATTGAGAGTCGTTACACGAAGTGCTTATAACGACATAAAATGTGACCTTTGGTGTATTTTTCACCTTCATTTCTAACATCAGAACAAAGCCATCGTCATTCGCAATCACTTTCGATTCAAGCCTACGGTCCACGCTCCCAGCCAACACTCTTCTAATGCAGCTTCGTATCTGTAGCAGCATAATCCTCCGAGGGTAACCGTTTAAGCGACTGGTTGGCCTGTGACTCTCCCGCGTGCCTTGCGCCGTGGCTCTCCCGTGCCAACGGAATTGGATCAGCTGCTGGCTGCTGCTTGCGGCGCACCATTTGGTGGTCGGCATAGCCCAATACCTCCCTCGCTTCCTCTCAGCTCATTGCCCTGAAATGGTGTGAGGTGACGACCGGCCTAGGCCAACAATGAAAATTAGGTAAACAAATAGCATTACTGCCACTGACCCCTAATTTTCGAAGTGTGTTTCGGACAATCAAAATATTTAGGCATTCTATAGAATGCCTGGGAGCTTAAGCCAGGCATTCTATAGAATGCCTAAGCAGTCAGGGATTCTATAGAATACCTAGGGATTCTATAGAATGCCTGGTCTGTCAGGCATTCTATAGAATGCCTAGGCATTCTATAGAATGCCTGATTCCACACATTGCCTGTAACATCCCTACCATAGTACCACGAGATCGTATACGTCATTGCCGTCGCACTGAGCCCGCGTCTCTCAGGTGTTTCCGTCCCTCAGGTGGTGATTGGCGCCGTGCTGAACGGCGTGGGCATGGCCATCAAGGGCCTGAGCACCTGGGATCTGGTGACTCCGGCCGACCTGCGTTTCACCATCACCATGGTTGGATCGGTACGGTTCCTGCTCGGTCATGATGCTACCTGTCACGTGACGCCCAAACTGAGTGACGGTGGTAGATGGGTACCCCTACCCATGATAGACCGGTCCCCCCATCACCCGTGGTAGATGGGTGGGACCGAGTGTTTTAATATTTGGAACTGATAGGATGTAGCTGAGCGGTGCTGATATTCAACATTCACAAGCACAGTGTCGACTGAGTCCGAAATAATTAATTGATCGATCATTGTCCCCGAAATCATGTTGCTAATCGCCAAGTCTAGCTTCTATCGCTCGGAGCACATGCCTTTTGGATTTATTGACAGACACCTTTAAGAGCAGGGAGATTAGTGGTCGATTGAGAGTCGAGTGCATCGCAAGGTTTGACAACGACCAGGGTTATTAAAACCTTGATACGATTATCGCAACCTGTCGAGTGTGTGCGGTTTACACCGACTATCAGCTGAATAATCACTATCTGTTACCATGGCAACGTTACTGGTGAACGGCCGTGGCGTGATCGGCATGATCGGCTGAATCTAACCAATCCGTGGCTCGTGACTGCTCACTTGTGACCCCCTATTCAGCAAAATGGTGCAACTATGTATCTGGAACATATTAAGTTTTCAATCATGTCGCCATGTAAATATGCCTCGTCCGTCCCGATATCTGACGGCAGTCATCTGTTGCAGGTGCTAGCGGCCATCGCTCAGCCGTTCACGTTGGTGATCCCGACTCGCTACTCACAGGCGTGGCACCCGCAGAGCGAGCGAACCGTCAGCACTACGCTCTCGTCACTCGGTCAGTCTGCGGCACACTTAGCGCACTCCTAAGTCCACAGTGAGAGAACCGTCAGAGCTACTCTCATCACTCGGTTAGCAGCAGTTTCCTTACTCCTCATTATAACCGCTATTAGTCAAGATTGAGCATTAGATCAAGCAGGTTCAATGCGAATGTCGCACACTACTTTAGTAGGCAACCGTTTGTATCGAAGTCCCATTTCAGGTCGCCCTGTCCTGTGTAGTGCGATATGCGTAAGCCCGTGCTTGGTGAACTTCTGCTTCAGTTTACCCCGCGCCCATAATTGTGACCTGCGACTGTTTAACCCTGCCTGTATCGTGCGCCGGCAGCTAACCCGATCGGCTGCATGCTGGGCATCTCGGTGACGCCGCTGTACGTGAAGAGTTCGGCCGACGTGCCGCTCATCAACACGGTGTGGGCCATACCGGCCATCGTGGCAGCGCTCACCGCCGTCCTAGGCGTCACCATGTGCGTATGTACCAGGGATGCGACTTACAAACTTCGTACTAGTGATACAAACCAAGATTACTTTACTACCTGAAGTGATACGAAACTTTGTTTCATTTTTTATCACTTTGAAACATTTGAAAACTTTCAGTTCCACCTCTTGAGCTCTTGCGTTTTTATTAACTGCTTTAGTAGAACGTTTGGTTTGACTACAATAAGTAATACAAAAGAAAGACACTTTAGGAGATAAATATTTTGTGCAAATTTATTTTCGATTGATAAAACATGTAATGCTGTGTCATTAGCGACAGACTCGTAACTGCAGATGCTGTTTCTGAGTGACCCGCCCACTGCGGCTGACCCGGTGCCACCGTCCCGGTCAGGTCGCACCCGCCGACGCCGCCCAGTCCCAGCGCGGCCGAGCGGCGGGCCCCTGAGCCGCTGCTGCGCACTCTGCGTGCCCTGTGCGCCAGCCGGCCGCTGGTCATACTGTCCATCTGCTTCGGCCCGGCGATCGGAGCCATGAACGGTGTCGCCACGCTGCTGGGCCAGATGCTCTGCACCACCGGCTACTCAACGGTCAGTGCGCGGCGCTAGAGCTTATGCATGTCTTTGGGGAATGATAGGGACGCTAACTTAGCTTTTCATTCCAGGCCGGGTGCAAAACCGCCGACACTAAAAAGTTAGACACTAAAGGTTTAGCCTGTCCAGTATCAAATCTATTCAAGCGAAAGCCTTCAGCTTCGGGCTGTACGCATACCATCTCATTGAGCCCATTTTGGGTCAGCTGTTGTGAATGTCGGCTTTCGCCGACACATAATAAGCATGATTTGCACCGTGCATTCGCCAAAGAAAGACGTGTACGCGCAATGAAACCTCACATTCCGTCTTCTGCCAGGGTTTCGTGGGCGTGTGCGGCGCGCTGCTGTTCGGCTGCGGTATCCCCGGAGCCATCCTGCTGGGTCTGATCGCCACCAAGACCGGCCGGGCGGTGGAGACGGCCAAGGTCTCCTACTCGCTGACCGCCGTGTTTCTCATCATGTTCTGCCAGGTGGGATGGGAGCCTAGATTTTTATCAGGAGGTTTATTTGCGCGTGTGCCATTGGAGCGTTACCAAGATTTATCAAGGTGCTTCAGCTTCATCATAACTAATAACTTGCTTAAACACCATCCTCAACGTTTTGCTTTGGCCACAAATCAAATCGCATATTTTTGCTCGAAAAGAAACTTGTGACAGAAAAGATGGTGGTTTGGCCGTTTTGTGTGATAAAATTTGATGCCATCCCTGACTGTTGATCGTTCTCGTTCGCAAGTCCGACCGTCAACTCGCTTAAGTGTTCCCACGGTGTTCCGCTGTCTCCTGCCCATACGCTCGTCTCACCAGTCTATCTACTACCCGCCAGGCGGCCCGGTACCCGGATCTCGAGTGGCTGGTGGGCCTCTCCATCGGTCTCGTCGGCCTCGTCGGTGTCGGCACGTACCCTCTGGTCATCGAGCTCGGCGTGGAGGCCACCTACCCCATCGACCAGACGTACAGCAACTCACTCATCTTCATACCAGGTCAGTGTGTGAATCGGGGACCCGAAGCGACTGCGAAAGATCTTGTCTTCGCGCGTTCTCTGCGACAGGAATAAGCTGATCTGGCCTGTTAATCTCCATCAGAATTTATGCTGGTGCCATTAGTGTTTTACTTTTGGATGACATGAACTGAACTATCCAATATGTCCTGACCTCTTTAGTCTTTGACCTCCCTCTCTGAGGGGACGTGACCTACCCCTACGCCCCCACGGTCTCCCACGGTCGCCGGTCTCGTGGTGTCCTGACCTCCCGCTGCTTCCAGGGTCACCGTTTACCTGACCTGACCACCCCTACGCTCAGGGTCTCTGGTGTTGACCTAACTTCCCCCTGCCTCCAGGGTCGCTGGTGGGCGCCGCTCTGGTGGTGCTCGGCACGGTCATGGGTCGTCCCGTCTCAGAGGCGGCGCGTCAGTACGAGGTGTGCTCTGTGGACGGAGCGGCTGGAGCCGTCGAGCCGCTCGACTATACCAGTGAGTTCATAGCGTCATAGAGCCGCTCGACTGTATCAGTGAGTTAGTAGCGTCATAGAGCCACTCGACTGCACCAGTGAGTTAGTAGCGTACAAAGTCGCTCGACTACACCAGTGAGTTTATGTGGTCAGCACTTTTCACCTATTAGGCAGAGTAGTGATCCAACAGGGGATCAAAGCTGGCCGAACGCTGGGTGGTGACATGGATTAGCTGTCGACGACTGGACCGCCAGTATCCCCTCCCCGTCTGACATACCCGCCCCGCCATGTCTCCTCAGACTACTACATGCTGATGACGTCTCTGCTGTCCGTCTCTGTGATCGCCTTCACTCTGCTGTTTGACACGCCCTACCACCGGACGGCGAGGGACCAGGCCGACGGCACCCGCTCGGAGACTGTCAGCGTGGCGCCGGCCGACGCTACGGCGTCACTGGACGACCGGGGGACGGAGCAGGCGCCGGCAGTATAGCGAACGGGAGCTAGAGGGCGACGCTCCGGCGTCACTGGACTGTGGAGAGGCGGGAAACGGAGCAGGCGGCTCCCGAATAGCAAATGGGAGCCAGTGACAAAGCCACCCGTATAGCAATTTGGAGGCGGAGCCGATGCCGGCAGCATAGCGAACACGAGTCAGGACCAGCGACCCCCTTGCGCTCTGTTTAGAAAGAACAGTAGCCTGGGCGATGCCATTCGCATAGAAAGAGAGCAGAGTTATTGAGATGGTTCCTTTTCTACACCAGCCCACCGGAAGACTCGGAAGAGGAGCGGACTTGGCTAGCCGGCTGAGGCTCAGGGGACGCTGAAATGTTATCATCGAGAAGGGAACTGGGTTGGATTGGGTACATTCCTGTGGTGCAGAGATGGTGTTCACATTTCACTTCAGGCTGTGCTGTTAAGACCGACAGTGATGTGCGTAGTTTTACTAGCAACACTGGCCTCAGTGGGGTGGGATTTAGGAATGTCAATTTTGGAGATAATTTAAACATGGTTTGCTGTCAAAATGAAGCTATTGGGCTCAACTCTCAACTCAACTCAAGGGTAAATACCACCGTAAGACAACGGAAGAGTCCCACTACCCGCATGCCGTCGATATCCTTTGCTCTAGTCGTGCCGATAGCGGATGTTACTGACAGGAATGGTCATCCGGCTCCTTATTTCAGTTACTTGTGTGGCAAGTGTAAACTGAATTGTGTTCCTGTCACTTGTGTCCGCAGTCCGGCGTCCGCCGGTACCGTTTCTCGGCAGGCGTCGTCACTCAGGTTTCAAATGTATCGCGTTTACGGGACCGTCACGGCCAAACCGGAACAAACAGGGGCCGGGGCGTGGTTCACGGTTGTCACACCAAACAGCGCATCAATGTGCCCGAACGTGGCGCTGGCCTCGTCCAGTGAACGGCGAAGTGACATAAAGAACATTTAGAAGATACTCTGTGCATGAGGCTGAGATCATTGTTTCCTTCGAGCGCGTCCCAGCGGGGTAGGAAGATGGGCTGACGTGATCCAGGCCAAAGGTCTTGTAGTAGCCACGAGTGCTGAATAGTCTAGCAAGGATAGTTACATTAGACATGTATTTATGAGCCGTGTTAGTCTGTTGTTATGCTGAAAATGTACAAACGACGATGTGCGCCTTATATCCGCCTTTTGACGTTATTGTATGTAACAATACAGTGTTTATCATTCACAAATATCATGTGACGTTATCGTGCCCCGCTTTCGGTGACCCCGACCTGACACCGATGAGCACGCCAACGAAAAGTACGGCAGTGATAAGTCAGGCATGAGAAACTTTGAAAGCCTCGCCTAAATAATCGTGGCCTTAGCGCGGCTGACCCTAGGGCATTGTCGAAGTGCAGTTTCATTCGGAAAATTCCAAGCTCCTTCAATTGGCCTCTCCAGTGCGCTGGATAACGCTAGTGGATTGGTTTGTAACTATTTATTGCACTTCACATGTAGTCTCGTACCTGTGTCAGTGCCAGCCTGGCTGTAGGCAAATGCTCGATGCCCGGTCCGAGGTTTCAAACGATAAAACAATAGATGTGCTGCGCACGTAACGTTACGGTTGTATTTACCAACTTATGTGTGTTTGCCTAAGCTAAGGTGAACATAACTAATATAGCTCGCGCTGTGAAACCCCATCCTCACTTCGCGATACGGAACGCCAGTGGTAGGCTACACTTGTAATTTCGCTTGAATACTAAAAACAACCACTAACGTTGCAACGGGCATACAAGCATATTCTTTACGGAATGCATCTGGCAGGCAAATATTTCATTCCTGTGGCAGAGGGAACCCCTAACGACCTTGACAAAGAAAAGCAGCCAAGTTGTACTCTGCGATCGACCTTTGCAAGCTTACGATGAGAATGAATGACACGCGAACATCACAACATGAACATGAAACGTATGAGCTATTCATATATGAAATGGAAGACCACAGCGACAAGCGCAAACCTTTCGGATATTGCACTGCCACTTTCGCCAGCGCACGGTAGGGTTCTGTTCATTTTTGGCTGAAGCGAATGTCATATACTTACATCCTCCGCAGTAAGTACGATCTGGCAGTGACCGGCACAGCCCACTGACCCAGTGACAAGCCCAGGGCATCACTGCTTAGACACTGATCACACTGGGGAGCACGAACCACCAGACATGGCCGTCCGACCCACCTCGATCTGATGATCCCGGGCCGCCACTCTGGGTCCGCAGCGCGCCGCGGCCGGTCTCAGTCGCGCAGAGGGTGCCGCGGCCGCGCGTCCCCACCCACAATGGTCTGCACGATGTGCGGCAGCTGCTGCATCACTCGGCGAATGCGGCTCGGCAGCGCGTCATGTTTGCCGTAGTGGCGCAGCCGGCCGTCCGTGTCGCGCAGCTGGACGGCGCCCGATCGCGGCTCGATCGTCAGATCGGTGCCGTCCTCACAGGTCACCTGGAGCCGGCCGTCCGGCAGCTGGGTGGCCGTGCCCACGCCCGGGAAGTGGGCGCGCCGCGCCGCCTTCCCCGCAGCGGCCGCCGGCGCCGACGACGCCGTCCGACCGCTAACCACCGAGCCGTCGAACGAGCGCATGGCGCCCAGCTGGCTGGCACCGCGCTGTAGCGTCAGCGGACTGCGGTTCTCCTGGTCGTGACGCGGTGACGAGCCGCCGTCCGAGCTCGACGGACGGCGCCCGATGATGGCCGGGAAACAGTCGAACGGCGCGGCGGTGCCGGTGGCCGACTGCAGCCGCTCCAGGGCCGCCTCCAGCTGCTGACAGTGGCTCAGACACTGGCGGTAGTGCTCCCAGATGCAGCGGCCCGTCTCTGAGAGGCACGGCGGCCCGCCCACGTCCTCCAGCGTGTACGGCTTGCGGCCGGGCTCTGTGAGCGTCACCTTCTCCGACAGTCGCGCCACCTGGCAACCGTCGTAGAAGCTGGCCACGAAGTCGGGCACCGGTCCGTTCTCCATCAGCACACACTTGGCCCGGTCCGTGTACAGCGTCAGCTTGGGAGTCTTGGTCTTCACCAGCTTCACGAAACGGGCGGCGTAGATGTACTTTTTCCAGTGTTTGCTGGGCAGTGTCTGGTAGCTATAGAAGGCGTCGGCGCCGGAGTGGGGCATCGGCGGCGGCGCAGTGCCCACCGGCACCGGTCCGCCGCCGTCCGGCTGGTACACCACGATCCGCTGCCCGTCCGAGGTGATCCGGCAGACGTCCACCACGGCGTCGCGGCCCTGGCGGCGGCGCACAAACTCCAGACACACCTCGCCGTCGTCGGCCAGCGTTAGCACCGCGTTCTTGGTGCGCTGCCGGGTCGGCTTCAGGCGGCGGGTGTTGAGCGGTGAGATGGGCGGTCGCGACTCGCCGCCCGGCGGCTGGAGACCCTGCAGCACGTCCCCGGTGTTGGAGCGGCACTGGTCCGTCGAGCGCGCCGACCGGGACGCCGAGCGGCACGAGCACTCCTCCTGCTGCGGCGGCCGCTCGCACCAGCTGCGGTGGCTGGCGGCGGCCTGCTCGGGCCGCCGGCCGCTCGGCCGATCGCGCGGCGCCGCCTCCTCAGGCGGCATGGGCGCTAGCGGCCGGGCCGGCAGCGGCTCGAACCGGCGCCGCAGGTGCGCCATGCCGGCCGGCGGTAGGGCGGCCTCCCTGGCGGCGCCGTCCTGCTGCCGCCGGCTGAGCCCCCGGTCCAGGCTGTGCACGCGCGGCGGCCGGCGCGTCCGCGTCTGCTCCGCCGAGCTGGTGGTGTTGGTGGTGAGCACCGAGCCGACGCCGCTGTCTGCCGCCGACCAGCTGCGAGTGCCGGCCGCCGACGGCGCGGCGCGTCCCACCGTCATGAACGGGTGCTGCAGCACAGCCGTCAGAGGCAGCCGCTCGGTGGGCCGCTTCCGCAGCAGGCCCGTGATGAGGCCGGCCGCCTCGGCGCTCACGGTCGGCGGGATGCGCACGTCCGACATCACCACTCGGGTGAGTGTGCTGCGCACGCCGTCCGTGTCGAACGGCGGCCGGCCCACCAGCATGGTGAACAGCATGCAGCCCAGCGCCCACACGTCGGCCTCCATGCCGTGCCAGCTGCGCGTGGCCACCTCTGGCGAGATGTAGTTGGGCGTGCCGCACATGGTCTTGTGCCGCTCCTCCGGCGAGCTCAGCTGCGTGGCCAGGCCGAAGTCGGCGATTTTGGCGCGGTAGCGGCTGTCGAGCAGCAGGTTGGACAGTGACAAGTCGCGGTGCAGGATCTTGTTGGAGTGCAGGTACAGCATGCCGTCCACGATCTGCCGCACGTAGCCGCGCGCCTCGTCCTCAGTCAGTGAGCCCTTGCTGCGGACGTACTTGCCCAGCTCGCCGTTGGTGCACAGCTCCAGAACCAGGTAGACTGCACTCTCGTCCTCGAAGAACGTGTACAGCTCCAGGATGCTGGGGTGCTTTAGGCGCGAGTGAATCTGCACCTCCTGTCGCACGCGCTCCACCATCCCCGCAGCCTTCATCAGCTGTTTGTCGATCATTTTTATGGCCACATGGGCCCCAGTCCACTTGCATCTTGCTTGGTATACACAAGCAAAGCCTCCTTTGCCTATGGGATCAAGCACTTCATATGCCTCAATATTTTCTCCATAGCATGAGTGTGCCATTACACACTCACACTAAGTCACAGATTGAAAACACTGTTATTTGAACAGGCTACAACCAAGAACAAGAAATACAAACTTCTTATTGTTCATCAATCTTTGCTGCAGGTGCATACTAAGAAACACATTTGCTTCTTCCAAGCAGCTATACATCACATCTGGAAAAAAAGAAGTGTTATGCATCACACTCGTCCTCTGAATCATGAATGATTAATCAAAAATGCCCCTCAGAATGTGGAACTGCACTTAATGTGCACTTTAACTAGTTAGGTAGGTATACAACAAGACAGATTATACCTACCTACCTAAAGACAGATCAAAGTTACATCTAGCATCTAGAGATTTAGTGCACATGGACATTTCAACACTCTCAATTCTTTTAACAGACATACCTAGGTTACAGGTACCGTAAGATCACAGGTCCACAAGGGCCGGCCAGTATGGCACTGGCCATCTAGTGTATCACAAGATGGCAGATATTGTGTAAGGGTTTGTTTGAACTTAATGGTTTCAACTTACTACCAGCATTACTGGTACTTCAGTTTTAGAAGTTTTAGAAGGGCAAAGTTAAGTCTACACAGTTTTATAAGGGTAGCTTTTGTTCATCTCCATGATTTTTTTCTTCCGTGTCCTAAATCCAACAATGATGCTTATTAGTGCAGCAAACATCATGATTCATTGAAGGGAGATCACCCAACCCAATAACTTAGCTGCCCTAACCTAACCTAACCTAAGCCCTCACCCTACACCTACCTAACACTTTCCTCTGGCTGAACTCCAGGATGGGTTGGGTCAGATGAGGTTTGGTTGCATGACCTCTCAATGAATTTTGATGTTTACTGCCCTTATGAGCATCATCTTTGCATTCAGGACATTGAAGAACATGGAGAACAACAGAATTTACCCTTCAAAAGCTGTGTGCACCTCAGATTCAGTAATACCACACTTCTATGCTGAAAAGGAATTGGTGAATTACTGGCTACTGCACACATGAGCACAACCTATAAGAAGCTGAGGAATGGCGGTAGGCTGGGCTGTCAGCATGCTCATAAATGACATTAGCACTGACATTCAACAGCATTATGAATTATGATTTTAGAACAAAATGAGGTTGAAGTCATGCTCAGAGGATATCTGTGACTTAGTGAAGTTGGCAGTCTTGAGCTGTTCCTACCAGTAGTGGCAGAACACCTTCAATTAAGGGGGGGGGGGGGGCACTGCCAGGTCCGACCCACTGCCAACTTTTGGACCCATTCTTTCCATGCAACGCCCATAGGAGGGGTGTTCACGGGCACCGCACACTGCTGCGTGCGGTGTGTGCGGTGCGTCCAGCAGGCGTGGGGTAGGGGATGGGTAGCCGGTTCTGACGTCACGGCTGCATGAGGTGGACGGTCCGCTGTGGCCAGTCCCAACTGACCACAGCGATCGCTGTGTGCGGTGACGGAAGGCTGACGTAGGGACGCAGTGGGCGGAGCTTGGAGGCTGTGTGCGGTCCGACAGCACACAGGGCCCGTGAACAGCCCTAGGGCTAATATTAAATGCCAAAATCAAAGTGGGGCACGTGCCCCCGGGCCCAGTGCCCTCCCCGTTCCGCCGCCTATGGGCTATGCTTCCCAACCCATTACAATCCTTCCACATCAAGTCGCAGTCAGTCAGTCCTCTCAGTCAGGGCATACTAGTAAATGGATTATTTGCCAGCTGGCGCTGTATGGTGGCAATGTATAACATTTTACACCAAATATTTATAAATTACAATCGACCGCCCGGCGCCCGCTGAATCAGAATCAGGCGGTGGTCCGTGGTCGGTGGTTCCATAGTTTTGTCAATCATGCACGGCCATGACCAAGGCAATAAAATGCCTACCTTATCTCATGTGATAAGTGGAGACTTCAGCACATACGGCGCTTTGGTATATTGATATAAAACCTATAAAGCCCATCCCAAGACCCAAGGTATATAAAACACTAACCAATCCAAAACCAATCACAGTTTTCAATTGAATTGGCCGCCATGTTTGTTTATTTTTCAATTCGAAACGATTCCTGCTTTGGTTTGTCAGGATTTTTCATGGATTTATTTTTTGACAGGAATATTTACCCTTTAAATTAATTTAATTTTCATTCATCCGGAAAAAGCAAGAAAAACAAGAAATGCTTATTTAATACGTGGTAAATACATACTTATTGAATTGGAACAAAAAAAACTCTTTGGCGCAGAGTCGACAAAATTGGCGCCGAGGTTGCAATTGCTGCGTGCAATCGTGCAAATGCGTGCTGCGTTGAATTGATTAAAAAAAAATAAAAATTGATTGAAGAGTGAAGACGGGTTCCTTGGAATTTGGATTGAAGTGCAGTAGGAAATTTTCTATATAGATATTGTGGTAGGTATGTGTATTATTTTGAGCCGGGCCCAAATACAAGAATTTGTGGCAGCTCATGAACAGAAAGAGCCCATTATTTTGGGGAAAAGTGATGCATAAATAAATCCTAGGTTTCCGTATTTGAGTGGTATCGTGGGTCCAAAATTTTCACCTATAGCAGTGATGGTGTGGTCTCAATTGTTATAAGGTCTTAACATTACAGAGATGGTTCGGCATTGCCCAAGTTTCAGAGGGCTGTTCACGGGCCCTGTGTGCGGTTGGACCGCACACAGCCTCCAAGCTCCGCCCACTGCGTCCCTACGTCAGCCTTGCGTCACCGCACACAGCGATCGCTGTGGCCGGTCGGGACTGGCCACAGCGGACCGTCCACCGCACGCAGCCGTGACGTCAGAGCCGCCTACCCATCCCCTACCCCCACGCCTGCTGGACGTACCGCACACACCGCACGCAGCAGTGTGCACTGAAAAAATTTTTTACTCAGGCCAGGCATTACTCAGTAATAACTCATGAAGAAACTCAGTGAATACGATAGTGGTGCTCACTTATTGGCTGATCTAACTCACATCACCAGGGTGACTTCGTTATGCGTGAGTTCTGAGTGCTTAGTTTCGTGAATTCGAACTGAGTCGGAAATGAGTTTTGCTTGGGCAAATCTAGTTTCCTGCGCAATGCATGAGTTCTCGCGAATTCACGTGCAGTTGTGCGTGAGGTACCCCCGGCTTGAAGATGCGCGCATGCGCGGCAGGGTGAGTTTCCTGCGTGATGCGTGAGTTCGCGTGATGAGTATTATAGCCGTTGCGTTCGAAAACCGCGACGCGCGCTTCAGTCCGTTGCGGTGACTCGCGTAGTTCACGTTGAATTGTTGAGGCTATTGTGAAATTGTGCGGGAGAGTGCAGGAGCGGGGAAGGCGTGCAGCGAAGGATGGGACCGGTAAGTTATCTGTGAAGAGCTCGGTGATTGTCGATGAAGCCTTTATCAATCGCATGCGCCGCGGAGAACAGGGAGGTGAACTGATGGACCAGCAGACATTCCCCGCCGGCGTCAGGAGGTCGGTGCCAACCGTGAACGGCGGAGCAGATCGATCGAGAAACTGAGGGATACCTACCCGGCATAGTTCGAAAAAGAAGAGGTGAGTTATGTTATATTTAAATTTAACCCTTGCATGTGTGCGGCGTTTTCCAGCTTCTAATGTGTAGGGGGGGGGGGGGGGGGGGGTCGGTTGGATTTAACCGATTTGGTCGGTTAAATTTAACCCTTGCCGTTTGGCCCCTGATCGAGCTAGAGCTTCGCGGAAAAAAACGAGCGTGTTGCCCGTGACGAGAGGAAGCCGATGATACCCAATTTTAAGGTCCTAGGTCATTGGTTGACCTTCCAGGTCAGGTCAATGACCCAAAGTCGGGAAAATCGGGACCTATTAGAAAGTCGTAAAGTGTGGCTGCTAAGGGGTTTTTCGGGGTACTGATCACGAATATCGTGTTAGTTTTGATCACAGATGATGTCTTTAAGCATTTAGACCAGGTCGGGTCAGGTCAGGTCAGGTCAATCAGTAGGCGTCGTGACGGGTATTCGTAGTACGTGTCAACCGCCTCTGACAGCTTCGTAACATGTTACGAAGGCACCAAAACTACTTCGTAAGTGTTCAAATGGTTGTTAAATTCGAATTCAGCTCCAAAAACTAGCCTAGAAACATGTAAAACTCGAAAAAGTGAACCGAGGTCACCCGAGGTCACCAAAGGTCAATGACCTGACCTGACCTTCAGGTGACCTTGACACCCACCCTAATGCATGGGAGCAACATCAAATCACATGTTTGAACGTTTGAAACCACGAAAAGCTTGCAAACGCGCGGCTAATGCGAGCCGACGTACGCCGAATCGCGATTCCGGCCAAACATGGTCTCGGAAAAGAGGTCACAGGTCAAAGGTCATTTGGGTCAGGGTCATGAAAGTTTCAGGGTAGGTGTAAAATTGATCAATGCGATGGTACTGAAAGTTTCGTCGCGATCAGCCGCTTTTTACGCGAGTTATTCGCGAAAAACCATGGGGAAAGGGGGGTCAATCCGACCCCCCCCCCTACACATGCGAGGGTTAGAAAAAAAACATGTTTGTGGGATAATGTTGTCCTTATCCTAAAAGAACGTTCATTTGACCCTTTTTACTTCTTTAAACAAGAACTCCGTCACGACCCGATGTTTTTTTTTGGGGGGGGGGGCGAAGGTTGTTTGAAGTCGATTCTTTCCATGCAGCATCCATAGGCACAATGTTAAAAATGTAAAATATTGGGGGACACGTCCCCCGTACCCTTCCCCCCCCCCGGTGGTGGAGCCCATGGTCTTAATTCCGCTCGCTGAACCGTTTAAGATTCTTTTGTCTCGTTTGTGCTTATTATTTTTCCACTGTTATTATTTTTTCCGACTGTTTTTTTTTTTTTAATGCCTACACACATATTTTCGCACACTATTCGATTTCAGCGAGCATTTTCAACCTTCCTTACATATTAGATTATTAGATACCGCGGCGAGACGCGTTTGGACGTGACATACTTATTTCCATTACTGTTAAGTATAACACATTTTATGTGATTGTTTCAAGCTGATTTTAATATTGGACGCCCATGGAAGTGTTTTGCGAGACTAAAACCCGAATGTTAAGGTGACCATCCGACCTTCACCCGCGCTGTGCTGGGTGGCGTTTTACGCCCCCCCCCCCCCCCCACCCCGCCCCCTCAGGTTTTTCGCGAATATCTAAGAACGGCGGCGCGCAGCGCCACCATTTTCGGCACACCTGCTCATACATTTGTTTCTGCATATGAAGAAATTTTAGACCCAGGTCGTTCAAGGTCAGGTCACGTCAAATGACTTAACATCGGAAAAATTTCAATGGTCGCTGACGATCGCACCGTTCGCAACGTGCCATGGAAACCGTTCGATATTTTTGTCATTTTCGCTCAGGGAATTCACCGCTCGATTTCACACCAGTTTGAGGTAAAATGTCAAAAAAATATCGAACGGATTTCATTGTATAGCGTTTTTGATACTGTCCCATCACCATGTCTCAAGTATCAACCTTACGGCATGTATAAAATATGTTTGCTAGTGCAATAAAACACCTCATATGTGTTCAGCTTGACGGTTTGGATCGACTGATATGCAACATGACCTGGTCAGGTCAACCTAAGGTCAAGTTTTAAATATGGCCTTTCAAGGTCTAATTATAGTTCATTCGTCCCGACGAGAAGAACACTATGCTAACGGCAAAATAAATGTCGTGACTCTTGAGTGGAAAGTATTACAGAAAACATTTTGGTAAAAACGGCTTTTTAGAGTTTTTGCTCTCTGGAGGCTTAATTGTTGACCTGAGGTCAAATCTGAGATCAAACGCCAGCAAGAAAAAAGTCGAAAGGGCTTTTGACTGCATTTTTCCGCGGGCAGCTCTTTTGGTTCCGAGTTAAGCACCAGTTTTTCGAAAATATTGAAATAAGCAAAATTTGGCCTTTCCTGACCTCTGGTGACCTGGCACTTGACTTGACCTTAAAATTACCCAAGTATTTCCTTAAATATCTTTAATGCTTTTTCGAAAGCCGCTTACGGCGTGTCGCTACGTGGCCCAACCCCAACAGCCGAGTTAGAAGAGGGGACGTGAAGACGACCCCCTCCCCTCAGTACATCACGGTAAACTCAGAGCACCAGCACGGCGCGGTTTAACATTAATTTTGAGCTGAGGTAACTTGATAACTTTTGATATTTCAATCACCTTGCATGCCCTATAACTTCCGTTTCTCTTACTGGCAAAAGAAAATCTGATTTTTTATTGTGTTTTCAGGGAACGGCCCATTGAGCCTCCTCTGCATCTTGGCGGAGAAGGCGTCAGTGGTGGCGTACACGGGTGACGAAAATTTGGATCACCCCTATCATAACAAGTCTGAAGAAAACGAACGGTGCCGCCTCATCGTGGAGCGAACGGAAGTCTTGTGGGGATCCATGGTTTGGAAGGGAGTCTTTTGCTGTGGGCGACGGCGCACTTTGTGCTCAGTCAACAAACGGCGCACAAAGTGCGAAACACGCTGTGGTTTGTGTGTATCCATGTGCTCCACACACCATTCAATGCTGAGCGCCAGCCACCTGTAGGCGCGAAGACTGAGGTCGAGAAGCTGGCAAAAGAGTGAAGCTGAGCTGACGTGGAGTTGATCCCCCCCCCCCCGACGCAGTTTGGCGTGTGTCAGAATTGAAATACAGCGCAATGCGACCGTTTCTACAAACATGTATTTCTTGTAAGGGCTGGGGCGAATAGTGCAAGACTAGACGTTGGTCGGGCATGGTATAATACAGATATGTATGCTGGTTTTGGGCAATGATTCGTTATATATTGGCCAATCCCAATATATAGACTAGCTGCCTGGTAGTGGCTGTTGTATGAGCATCATGCATGCATATTGCATAATGCTGATGCGGCAGCTGTTATCATGGGCGGCGAGCCTATACATTGGCTTGAGCCAATATAAAACGAATCCGATCAGCCGTTTCAGGCGGCGCCTGAGTAACACCCGAGTATCGTATGAGTTATCGACGTGAGTACGTCCTGAGTACAGCCCTAGTTTTCACTGAATAACCGATGAGTTCCAACTGAGTTATGGCCGTACTACCACCTGAGTTATACATTAGTACCAGCTGAGTTACATGTGAGTTACTTCCTAGTTTTTCATGAGTAATGACTTACTAATACCTGAGTTTGGCCTGAGTTGTCTGAGTAGGACATGAGTTACGCATGAGTACTTACTGAGTTTTATCTGAGTTTTACCATCGGACAAAATGGCAACTCACTTTGTTACTCACATGCTACTCACTTGCAATGAGTTTTGCCCGAGTTTTACCTGCGTTCCGCCCTGAGTTTTACCTGAGTACGCGGATTTAGAGTGAGTTTTACCATTGGACAAAATGGCAACTCAGTCATTACTCAGAAAAGTGAGTAAAAATTTTTTTCAGTGTGCGGTGCCCGTGAACACCCCTCAGGTTTTGTTTATGCTTGGTAGGTATATTGCTAATTGCCCTGGTTGCGGGTATGCCCCCCAAAAGCAAGACCTAAACAAGAGGGCTGTTCACGGGCACTGCACACTGCTGTGTGCAGCGTGTGCAGCAGGTGTGTGGGTAGTGAAGGGGTAGTTGGTATGACATCACACGGCTGTGTGCGGTGACCGAAGGCCAATGTAGGGACACTTTGGGTTTTGGTGGAGCTTGGAGCCTGTGTACAGTCCTACTGCATACAGGGCCCATGAACAGCCCTAAGGACTATTGTGATGGCACTAATAGGCATAGGAACAGGGGCATGGCCCCCACTTTTCAGCTGAGTAGGTATGACATGAAAGCTCAAACAAGGCCAACAAACCTAACCTAACCTAACCTAATCTATAACTTACAACCTACAAGCTAAAAACCTACAAACCTACCCAACACTACAACCTGCAAACCTACAGTGCCTCTCCTCAGTTGGGAAACCTTTGCGTGACGTCTGCTCTACCAATGCCTATGCATGACTCAAGTATGATCCAGTTGAAAAGGTGGCAGCCATCTCAATGAGATGTCTGGGGCAGCCAGTATCCTGCCCCAGATATGATCAGAGCACTGCACCAGCTGACTTTTTCTGGTTTGATGTTAAAAATCCCTAGTCACTAGTCAGTGCACATGCATTTGGTGAGTTGGGGGGTGGTTGGGTGCCACCATTTGTGAACTTTGGAACTGCTGCCCAATAAGGATGCCTCAATGCTGATTGCTGTAACACCACAGTCCACAGGACCTACATGATGTGTTACAGGGGTGAGACAGTGCTGCCCAAAAAAGCATAAAGCAATGACCTCAAAAAGCCTTGTAGCAGTGAACTTGAACCAGGCTTCAGTAAGCAAATGACCTATTTGTCATTTCGTTATCTCTGGCCCTCTAACATATTTCCATTTCTAGAATCTAAGGTTAGAAATTTGATCATGATGACAAACAATTATCCAGTTGTTAAATGGTATATTTTCATGACAACATATGTAAATTAGCATAACACCTATATAGTTATAGCAAACAATAATTGAACACCAGCTTTTTTCTTTATTTAATAGGAGCTTTCGAATGCTCCAATTTAAGTGTTTTTTACCAAGGCTGACGAAGAAAGCTGCAAAGCTTTCAAAAACTCCCAGTAAATAAAGAAATAGCTGGTGTTCAATTATTGTCTTCTATAACTATGCAACCGTCCCAGCTAAATAACAATATTTACAATTACACAACACCTATATCTTGGCCCTCCTAGTCCTAGGTCCATTATTAGCCCGCGCCGGGCCGGTGCTCGGAGATTCCGCGCCGGGCCGGGGGGGGGATGTCTGAACACCCCCCTTCTAACTCGGCTCCTGGGTCACGTAGCGACACGCGGTAAGCGGGAATCGAAAGAACTTCCAAAATAAGGACGAAAACACTTTAGTCATTTTTTGGGTCAGGTCAAAGGTCAGGTCACCAGAGGTCACCAAAGGTAAAATGTTGACTATTTCAACATTTTGGAAACTGCCAACGGCAATCTCGAGAACCGATAGAGCTACAGCGCCGTGGAAAAGCGCATTCGATAGCCCTTTTACAGACCTTTCTGAGTAATGTTTTCAGATTTGACCCCAGGTCAACGGTTTAGCCTCCAGAGGGCAAAAACTCCAAAAATAGCCGTTTTTACGAAAAGTGTTTTCTCGGCAATAGCTTTTGACTCAAAAGAGCCATGACATTACTTTTGCCAGCATCGTGTTCCTCTCGTCGAGACGCGTCGAATGATCTATAATTTGACCTTGAAAGGTCAACTTGAAAATTTGACCTCAGGTCAAGGTTATGACTTGACCGGAAAAGGTCATGCTGCATATCAGTCGATCCGCAACGTCGAGCCTAACACTTATAAGGCGTTTTCAGCGCTCTAGCACGCCTCTATGAGAAGTTATTAGCGAAAAACTGTTAGATTCTGTTCGTGACCTGAGATGACCTCGGGGACATAACGAGGGGTCACAGTTGCCATTTTCCGGTTCAGTGCGTCAATTTTACCTACATCTCGATGTTTGAGAGTGTCTAGAATAGCGCTCGTGCAAAACAGACGCTTTTCAATTTTCTCCGATTGACTTATAATGGAGAGGCCGCAAAATTGACCTGACCTTAGGTCACCGATATCAAAATTCCGAGATATACATTTTATAGATAATGTTACTCTTATCAATCGCTGAAAGCTTCAAGGCGATCGATCAATCGGTGTAGCTATGACGAGCATTCTTATTTTTTTTCGGAGGTGAGGTCACTTGGCGTGACCTGCCACCTGGTGACCTGACCCAAGGCGACCTGGGTCTGAAATTGTCACAACATGTGCGGAAAAGATGCATAAACAGGTGTGCCAAAAACAGCGGCGTTCCGCGCAGCCGTTTTTGAGATATCTGCGAAAAACCGCAGGGGGGGGGGTGTTCAAACCCCCCCCCCGGCCCGGCGCGGGTTAGTCATACCACTTGTGCAGGTACCACAATTGTACTACACTTTTTTGTTGCAGAGAAGCTGCTTCCCTGACATGTTCAATGCATCTTTGTTAATGAAAGTGTTGGATTTAAGCAGACAAGCTTGTAAAGGGAAGTCGAGAATATATTATATTGCACCTTATGAAGATCTCACTACATTTTCTCCTTTTCATGGTACACTTTTACAAAACAAGATGTCCCAATGGATACCTATGTCCAGAAAACGACACCTAAGCTCAGTTTCAAATGATGATAGAATTGTTGCCCAGAAGATGGAAGAAGTGCATGAAAATACTGACCATGAAAATACAGAGATTCAAGATCCAACCTCAAATGAATTTAATATCACTGGACTGTTTGTTGAAACCCATGCTTCAAATAAACACATGAGTTGTAATGAGCCTACTGCTGTGAGTAGTGGAATATCCATGTCAAATGATGCTTGTCAGGAAGGCAGTGATAATGTTCCAGCTGACGCAGGAGGTGATCAGAATGTTGCAGTCAAAGCCTATGCTGACAGTGAAAAACACATATCAAGGGACACTGTAACTGCCCAAATCAAGATACCACATGCTGTACACACAGCACTGAAGTCAGGAGGTGGTGAACTGGCAGCCAGGCTGGCTGAGACTGGCTGCACTGTCCAGCTACCCAGGAAAATGAAGAAGCCTGTCACAGTCTGTGGCAGCTCAGAGGAGGATGTTCAGTTGGCATGTGAACTGCTTAAGACTGGTTTGACTCCTAGTAAACAGGCGCGGCCGCTTTTGACCCACTTTGTGTCTGTTCGTCTGACGGAGGAACCGTTACGCCGTCGGTTCGAGGAGTTCCGCACGCTAGTGCGCGACCTGCAGCCGGACCACGATCTCCTGCCGGACCGGCTCTTTCAGCGGCCCGAGAAACTGCATATCTCACTCGCGATGCTTCAGCTACCCGACGAGGCGGCGCTGCAGGCGGCTCGTGACGTGCTCGACATCTGCTGCCGTCAGCTGTGCGACCAGCCGCCGGTGCGGTTCCGGCTGCGCGGCCTAGGCACGTTCGGTACTGCAACCCGGTCGCGGGTGCTGTACTCGCGGCCGGAGCCGGCCGAATGTCTGCAGTCAGCCGCCGAACTTGTGTACAATCGGCTGAGCGAGGCTGGTCTGACGGGCCGCCAACAGGAGAGCATCACGCTACACGCCACCCTGCTCAACACGACCTTCCTGACGCGGGGCGCCGCCGGCCGCCGCTGGCGCAAATTCCGCGGTTTCGACCACGGCCCGCTCGTTGAGAAGCTGGGTGAGTTTGACTTCGGCGAGGTCCAACCTGCGGCGTTCGAGATATCGTCGCTAACCGAGAAGGCCGCTGACGGCTACTACGCCACTGCCGGCTTGGGCCATCTCCGTGTTAACGAGTTACCGCAGCTCGATAGCTGCCTGTCGTCAGGAGTTGGCGTCGGAGAGCTGCGGCCAGCCGGCGGAGAACTGCAGACAGATGTCGAAGAGTCGCGGACTGACGTTGTAGAGTCGCGAACAGACACGGTAGAGCCGCGGACTGACGTTGCAGAGGTGCCGACAGACGCGGTATAGCCGGAGACTGACATTGGAGAGCTGCAGGAAGGAGAGCTAGGAACAGGCGTCGAAGAGTCGCGGTCAGACGCCGGAAAGTCGCGGACTGACCTCGGAGGGTCGCGAGCAGGCGATGTGGACTTCCAGGAAGCTTCAGCTGCAACTAGTGAAGAGAGCGACTTGGGCGTGACAGTTGAGACGACAGTTGTAGAGTCACCAGCAACACCGCTAGGAGACATGTCTCGACTGGCGGGCTTGACTCTGAGCGGTTACCATGGTGCATCACAGCCTACGCCCTCTGATCCTGAGCCACTGTTGCATGTTGTGGCCTCGGGATCAAAGGATGGAGCGGCAACAGAACCGCCTTGAACAAATGAACACCTCTTGAGGCGGTGAGAACTTTCGGGTGAAAAATTCCGATGTACAAATACTTGTGATGTCCGTCTGACGTTGAACTGAGCCATCCGAGCCTAGCGGAGCTCTTTGCACTTGTATGTCCGGCGTCAATATTTGATAACGGACGATGGATAACGTATTTTGTACTTTGTACGTACTTTCTTGGTAACAATATTACTTGTTTTGAAAGTCATTTGCTAACATATTGTTGATAATTAATGGGTATTTATTTACAATGCGCCACTACAGCTCAATACACCTAAACCTACCTACGGGCTACGGTTGCACGTTTATTCTTGGTTGGTCTTTGTAGTGCTTGAGCAAGTGAAATTAAGCGATGCGTAGTTTTTTGTGAAACGTCCGTGCCTATCACCACCGATCCTGGGCCCCAGTAATCTTGCTATGCCATGCCTTTAGCGTACCGCAAGTGGTCGCAAGGTGTAGGGGAGATGACCATTGGCCATGTAATATCATGGGCGAGTGGCGAGTGCGGAGTGCAGCCCTTCACCTTGTCCAAGGCTATGTAAACCCCGGGCCCAAGATTCCTACAGACACCCTATATTTGCTTGCCCTATGTATAACCTTGCAGATCTGGCCTTGCCCTGGCCCAGCGCAAGATTCTTGCCCAGCGGTCAGTATACGGCGTATGGAGTTCTGAGCACACGTCCATCAATTGAGCAGCAGATTGATATTCGCGAATATCAAACTAAAAATTCGATATTCGGACGGGGAACGCAATAACTCAAGAACCAGTGAACCGATTTTGATGAAAGTGCCCTCATTCGATTCCTCGTTCCTTATTGCAGGTTGACAGCGATTTCCAGGTCACTAGGTCATGACCTTCAAGGTCAAGGTCAAGGTCAAAGGACGGGGAACGCTCTACAGCCTAAAGTTACCGTCCGATTGGCTTGTAAATGGTCTCAATCGATTCCTCGACCCCGATTCCAGCTTGACAGCGATTTCCAGGTCACTAGGTCATGACCTTCAAGGTCAAGGTCAAGGTCAAAGGACGGGGAACGCTCTACAGCCTAAAGTTACCGTCCGATTGGCTTGTAAATGGTCTCAATCGATTCCTTGACCCCGATTCCAGCTTGACAGCGATTTCAAGGTCACTAGGTCATGACCTTCAAGGTCAAGGTCAAGGTCAAAGGACGGGGAACGCTCTACAGCCTAAAGTTACCGTCCGATTGGCTTGTAAATGGTCTCAATCGATTCCTTGACCCCGATTCCAGCTTGACAGCGATTTCCAGGTCACTAGGTCATGACCTTCAAGGTCAAGGTCAAGGTCAAAGGACGGGGAACGCTCTACAGCCTAAAGTTACCGTCCGATTGGCTTGTAAATGGTCTCAATCGATTCCTTGACCCCGATTCCAGGTTGACAGCGTTTTCCAGGTCACTAGGTCATGACCTTCAAGGTCAAGGTCAAGGTCAAGGGACGGGGAACGCTCTACAGCCTAAAGTTACCGTCCGATTGGCTTGTAAATGGTCTCAATCGATTCCTTGACCCCGATTCCAGGCTGACAGCGATTTCCAGGTCACTAGGTCATGACCTTCAAGGTCAAGGTCAAGGTCAAAGGACGGGGAACGCTCTACAGCCTAAAGTTACCGTCTGATTGGCTTGTAAATGGTCTCAATCGATTCCCCGACCCCGATTCCAGCTTGACAGCGATTTCCAGGTCACTAGGTCATGACCTTCAAGGTCAAGGTCAAGGTTCGCGAATATCAAACTAACAATTCGATATTCGGACGGGGAACGCAATAACTCAAGAACCAGTGAACCGATTTTGATGAAAATGCCCTCATTCGATTCCTCGTTCCTTATTGCAGGTTGACAGCGATTTCCAGGTCACTAGGTCATGACCTTCAAGGTCAAGGTCAAGGTCAAAGGACGGGGAACGCTCTACAGCCTAAAGTTACCGTCCGATTGGCTTGTAAATGGTCTCAATCGATTCCTTGACCCCGATTCCAGGTTGACAGCGATTTCCAGGTCACTAGGTCATGACCTTCAAGGTCAAGGTCAAGGTCAAAGGACGGGGAACGCTCTACAGCCTAAAGTTACCGTCCGATTGGCTTGTAAATGGTCTCAATCGATTCCTCGACCCCGATTCCAGCTTGACAGCGATTTCCAGGTCACTAGGTCATGACCTTCAAGGTCAAGGTCAAAGTCAAAGGACGGGGAACGCTCTACAGCCTAAAGTTACCGTCCGATTGGCTTGTAAATGGTCTCAATCGATTCCTCGACCCCGATTCCAGTTGGACAGCGATTTCCAGCTCACTAGGTCATGACCTTCAAGGTCAAGGTCAAGGTCAAAGGACGGGGAACGCTCTACAGCCTTAAGTTACCGTCCGATTGGCTTGTAAATGGTCTCAATCGATTCGTCGACCCCGATTCCAGCTTAACAGCGATTTCCAGGTCACTAGGTCATGACCTTCAAGGTCAAGGTCAAGGTCAAAGGACGGGGAACGCTCTACAGCCTAAAGTTACCGTCCGATTGGCTTGTAAATGGTCTCAATCGATTCCTTGACCCCGATTCCAGCTTGACAGCGATTTCCAGGTCACTAGGTCATGACCTTCAAGGTCAAGGTCAAGGTCAAGGGACGGGGAACGCTCTACAGCCTAAAGTTACCGTCCGATTGACTTGAAGACCTTGAAGTTTGACTTGATTGACCTTGAAGGTCATGACCTAGTGACCTGGAAATCGCTGTCAAGCTGGAATCGGGGTCGGGGAATCGATTGAGACCATTTACAAGCCAATCAGACAGTAACTTTAGGCTGTAGAGCGTTCCCCGTCCTTTGACCTTGACCTTGACCTTGAAGGTCATGACCTAGTGACTCGGAAATCGCTGTCAAGCTGGAATCGGGGTCGACGAATCGATTGAGACCATTTACAAGCCAATCGGACGGTAACTTTAGGCTGTAGAGCGTTCCCCGTCCTTTGACCTTGACCTTGACCTTGAAGGTCATGACCTAGTGACCTGGAAATCGCTGTCAACCTGGAATCGGGATCGGGGAATCGATTGAGACCATTTACAAGCCAATCAGACGGTAACTTTAGGCTGTAGAGCGTTCCCCGTCCTTTGACCTTGACCTTGACCTTGAAGGTCATGACCTAGTGACCTGGAAATCGCTGTCAACCTGGAATCGGGGTCAAGGAATCGATTGAGACCATTTACAAGCCAATCGGACGGTAACTTTAGGCTGTAGAGCGTTCCCCGTCCTTTGACCTTGACCTTGACCTTGAAGGTCATGACCTAGTGACCTGGAAATCGCTGTCAACCTGCAATAAGGAACGAGGAATCGAATGAGGGCATTTTCATCAAAATCGGTTCACTGGTTCTTGAGTTATTGCGTTCCCCGTCCGAATATCGAATTGTTAGTTTGATATTCGCGAACCTTGACCCTGACCTTGAAGGTCATGACCTAGTGACCTGGAAATCGCTGTCAAGCTGGAATCGGGGTCGAGGAATCGATTGAGACCATTTACAAGCCAATCGGACGGTAACTTTAGGCTGTAGAGCGTTCCCCGTCCTTTGACCTTGACCTTGACCTTGAAGGTCATGACCTAGTGGCCTGGAAATCGCTGTCAAGCTGGAATCGGGGTCGAGGAATCGATTGAGACCATTTACAAGCCAATCGGACGGTAACTTTAGGCTGTAGAGCGTTCCCCGTCCTTTGACCTTGACCTTGACCTTGAAGGTCATGACCTAGTGACCTGGAAATCGCTGTCAACCTGGAATCGGGGTCAAGGAATCGATTGAGACCATTTACAAGCCAATCGGACGGTAACTTTAGGCTGTAGAGCGTTCCCCGTCCTTTGACCTTGACCTTGACCTTGAAGGTCATGACCTAGTGACCTGGAAACCGCTGTCAACCTGCAATAAGGAACGAGGAATCGAATGAGGGCATTTTCATCAAAATCGGTTCACTGGTTCTTGAGTTATTGCGTTCCCCGTCCGAATATCGAATTTTTAGTTTGATATTCGCGAATATCAATCTGCTGCTCAATTGATGGACGTTCTGAGCACATTGAAAGTGCAATAACGTAGGGGAAAACTTGGGGGAAAACAGATTTGGTAGCACGTCTGTCAAACTAGCAGCGAGCAGCGAGCAGCGAGTCCAGCAGCGAGAAACGGGCCATCCCGATTTAGCTGAAAATTGGCTCACAGAGCCTTCTCAGCACGCTGATTCCGAAAATCATGGTCTCTATGGTGGAAATATTGACCATTCTCGAGATAGAACCCTCTAAAGTTCTTACCATCCATGACCGGGCCATCCCGATTTGGCTGAAAATTGGCTCACAGAGCCTTCTCAGCACGGTGATTCCGAAAATCATGGTCTCAAGGGTGGAAATATTGACCGTTCTCGAGATAGAACCCTCTAAAGTTCTTACCACCCATGACCGGGCCATCCCGATTTGGCTGAAAATTGGCTCACAGAGCCTTCTCAGCACGCTGATTCCGAAAATCATGGTCTCTAGGGTGGAAATATTGACCGTTCTCGAGATAGAACCCTCGCAGCGAGTCCAGCAGCGAGAAACGGGCCATCCCAATTTAGCTGAAATTTGGCTCACAGAGCCTTCTCAGCACGCTGATTCCGAAAATCATGGTCTCTAGGGTGGAAATATTGACCGTTCTCGAGATAGAACCCTCTAAAGTTCTTACCACCCATGACCGGGCCATCCCGATTTGGCTGAAAATTGGCTCACAGAGCCTTCTCAGCACGCTGATTCCGAAAATCATGGTCTCTTGGTTGGAAATATTGACCGTTCTCGAGATAGAACCCTCGTAGCGAGTCCAGCAGCGAGAAACGGGCCATCCCGATTTAGCTGAAATTTGGCTCACAGAGCCTTCTCAGCACGCTGATTCCGAAAATCATGTTCTCTAGGGTGGAAATATTGACCGTTCTCGAGATAGAACCCTCTAAAGTTCTTACCACCCATGACCGGGCCATCCCGATTTGGCTGAAAATTGGCTCACAGAGCCTTCTCAGCACGCTGATTCCGAAAATCATGGTCTCTAGGGTGGAAATATTGACCGTTCTCGAGATAGAACCCTCTAAATTTCTTACCACCCATGACCGGGCCATCCCGATTTGGCTGAAAATTGGCTCACAGAGCCTTCTCAGCACGCTGATTCCGAAAATCATGGTCTCTAGGGTGGAAATATTGACCGTTCTCGAGATAGAACCCTCTAAAGTTCTTACCATCCATGACCGGGCCATCCCGATTTGGCTGAAAATTGGCTCACAGAAACTTCTCAGCACGCTGATTCCGAAAATCATGGTCTCTAGGGTGGAAAA